GGGGGGGGGGCATGCCTTAAGTTAAAGATTAAGATAAAGACTACCGTAGTAGAAATACCAAATCTTGGACCTTACCCTCAGGGAACACCTTGGCCTGGAAGCCACGCCCAAAAAGCCAACTTTCAAAGTTGCTTGTGGCCTGGTAAAGTTAAGTGAAGGATACATGCAAGTAGAAGTGATGCAAAACTATATGTCTCTTCAACACAGAAAAATTAGCTTTTGTATAGTCTGAAACCCCTTCAGATCTTACCATTCAGAATTTGTTGATAGGTCAGAACATATTTCCACTTTCACTTTCATATGCACTACACTTTTCACAGATAACATAGAATTCTTAAATTATACAATTTTGATAATTCTATGAGATAATTGTAAGACCTTACTCTACACAAGTTAACACACTCTTCTGGATAGCTACTCTTACAGTAATACTGAACTTGAGTCAGTTACAGATATTTCATAATTGAGATCAGAAGTATTAAGCTGTTCAAACTACCACAAAATTGGACATATTCTATAGCATGTCATAGAGCTACAGCTGTGCATCAAACCTTACATCACAGATTCAATAGCTTTTAGTCATGTCCAAAGGATACGGTAAGGACAAAGATGAAGAGATTGGAGCCCAGGAAACCTCCGAGGATGGTCATCCATTCCTTGGAGGCCAGCTGGACCTTGTACATCTGCATTCCTGGGGAGATGATGATATACATGTTATAAGAAGAACAGAGGATACCTGTAGATTTGCGACAATCCCTTCATAAAACTTTAAATAGCTTCATGTTCTTTGCCTTGACTAGTGAGTCAGTAGTGTGTTACTTTATGTGGTAATGTGGAAGGACAGAATACAAACTGCAGATTACATTGGAATTGGAATGCTTTGGCATGTGGTTACCTCTCTTATCACGGTACATGTATCTACATCACAGGATCACATAAAATTTGGTGTATCATTCATTGTACATTGTATGCGTGGAACTTTTTAATTGCCCTTACCTGCAAATAGCAGGATACACAGGGTGGATGCCAGTAGGAAAGACACAGAAGTGGGCACGGCTGAAAAAAAAAAAAACACACGTTTTACAACTGAGAAACATGCAAATTAATTCACCTCAGTTGTTACGACCCAAGTTCTCACACGCAAATTTTCCTCCTGAGAAGCGAGGACATGCCTCACTGATCAGGAAAAATGCAGGGTCCGCGTCACGCAAATCCCATAATATTTAGGCCCTCTGAGTCTCAACTTATAGAGCGACGACGGCTTCCATTTTTTCAGGCCTGTATTCTACCAAATATAGATATGAAAGAGTCAGTTTTAGGTTGTGTCGTGCACAACATCTAACGTTAGCTGGAAAGTCGGCTCAAGGGGATACTCCCACCAACTTCTTCCACCATGCAAGACCACACTTGCCATCCTCTAGCGAAAAGCAGAGAATGCACACAGCTTTCATACTCACTCAGCTCGTCCCTTACGCCTTTAACTACAACTATCTAGCATTTTGATGATGAAAGACTACCCAGTTCCCGGACAAAACGGAAAACTACAGAGGAGAGAAAACTTCTACTCTTTACTCACCCATCTTGGAAAGTGTAGAGGTGGCACATCCGGGGGATTTTACAGCTGTGGTCTTCCTCTGACCAATCAGATTGCAGAATATTTCTGCGACTAACCAATCACAGCACAGGAGGCAGGAGCGCCAGTAACCCCGGAAGTGAAAAGTTCTCCTACCTAACTCACGTAGTTTGATCACATGACTGCCAACTGCGAGATTTCATTCCTATGTCTTTACAGTAAAGCTCTCGCGTTTTCTCGCTGCTGTTCCACGTGACTCTATTTTCCCGGGAACGATATTAATAGTACTTCCGGTTTCTTTGTTCCACGTTGAATATTCGGGCGTGAATTTTTGCCAGCCTGTTAGGAATTTGTTGCCGGAATTGTAAAGATTCAGGCAACATTGTCGTGGTTTCTATATGCAAATGGCAGAAGGTTTTGCCCTTGTGTTTCCTGACTGCCTTTGATATTCTCCTGCTGAGGGTGAACGTGAGGAGAGGCCAGACAGGGAAACCCAAAGCCGCGACTCGGTATTCCTGCAACGCGCTCTGAGCGGCGCTTGCCAGGACGCGGGCACATTTTCTTCCGAAGCCAGTGTTAACTCAAAACAAGACGCAAAATGCTCATGGAGCCGACCTTAACGACTGCTGTGGCAAGGTATGTACCTCACAGATTCGTTTTCTGGAACAGTGTGTCCATGTGATGTGTTTTCGGCGAGAAAAGAGGAAGTCGCCGGCTGGCATCCGGATAAAATGGCGACAGCCCGGCAGAAATATGTTAGCACATGATTCACACATGGAGACCGCTGCTTACACATGGAACAGCATATTCAACACGGATAGCGAGAATCCTTCTGACCCCCTCTCTGCCTTACGTCATTCTGGTATATTCAGTTAGATTCTGTTACGGCAAAACGATGGAGAGTTGTTCAGTAAAAATTTTGGGGATATGATCATTTTAGATATTTTCATTGATTTGAAAAACAGCTTACTACGCCCCCCTCCCAAGTTGCCATACCATTCACCTTGCATCCAAATTACTTGCATGTGGTCTAGTAAGAAAATAAGTAAATTTTGATACACAAATATGCAAATAATGATGTATGTGGCGTTTCTCTGGAGCTCAAATCTCGCCTTCTTCCTCAGTGTATTTATTTTGCTACAGGAACAGGACGTTTTTACCAAAATTGTCTTTTCTGCTGTATAAATTATATCTGAACACAAGTTTTCACATGGTCATTAGTTATACTTGGTTTTGTCACAATACAGTTTAACCTTCTCCCTGCTGCTTGGCCACTTCCTTACGAATAGAGAATTGGTGGGCAAACAGCAAATTCAGGGTGCTAAAGGTTAATATATTCTGGTCAATTGAAGATACATGTACCATATTAATTTGCACCTCCATTATATTTATATTGCCATTTTGAGCTGAAATTGTCATGGGTTGGTGATGTGGACAAGTAGTTATTTAAGGATATGCACTGGCTAGAACATACCTTTGGTCACTGGAGACTGGAGTTGTGTGTGTACACATGTCGTTGATGTGTAGCCAAGATACTAGTTAACATGACTTGACTGCAAACTGAAGTTGGCACACGGTGGCCCAATAATCTACCAATGGCTGCGTGGGTTTTGTGTGACTCTCACAAGCATTCCACTGGTGGTCAGACATTTGCATTTCAATGTTTTCATTCATTAATTTAAATATCAACAGATCCCTTGTGTCTCCCTGCTTGGTTAGTATGTTGTGGAACTAGTATGTGGGGAATAAATGCCATGAAAAAGGTGTAAAAGACAAACAAAAATAACTATGGCAAGAAAAAATAATTGCAACCCATAAAAGGTTTTTCCTTTATCTTTTAGACTCTTAAGTGTTTCTTAAGTTCTCCTTGGTGAGATGTAAGCTCCTAAAAGTAAAAGAATGCAAGTTTGTAGAAATGGTTACAAAAGACCTGCATAAGACTATTAAGAGATCAAATTCTCTCATCAGTAGCATTAGAACTTCTTCAAAGTTTTTATAACTCACATTACCATTGAAAGGATTCATGAATGTGTTAATGATGTGGGTAATGAACCTTCTCCCTGCTGAGTTAACCTTTTGACAGCAGATTCGCCTTGGTTCCAGGGTTAGGCAGCAGGGAGAAGGTTAAGCATGGCTGGGTTGTTGTGACTGGTCAGTGGTGGCTTGTCATTGCCATGGTAACCTAATTGTTCTAGATTGATGGAAAAAACAGCTTGTTTGTCACAGCTCATTTTGTGGTAATTATTTAGATTGAGGGATTCTTTTGTATGGAAATGAGCCCTTTTGTTAAAAGCAAGTTTCAGTTTCGAATGTATGGGCCAGTTTAATTGGATAATTACCCTTGTTGATGAGATAGTTGTTGTGAAAGGAGTGGCTGTCCACCACAGTTGTGTATTCATTGACCCGTAACTTGTACTATCCAGTACACACTTGGCATTTCTCACAAATCGCTTAACCAATGTTTGCCTGTTAAGTTTAACATGGTAAAGATTAACTCAAACTAATATACGTATATTCTTATGTCTTTCCTATTGATTTGACCATATTACTTAGAGATAACGATATTGAGGATGCTGATATATTGATGAACCTCTGCCAGTTTTTAAGTGTTGTGTTTCCATTTTGCTATACAATGTACTTGTGGTTCAATTGCAAGGACTTTGTTTTCATATGCATATCTATGTTAATTTTCAGCCCTTGGGGCTCCCAGCTGCCATCCAGAGAACCAGAGACAGCCCCTCATGTGTACCACAAGTACCTGGACACAGGGGACCTGGATGCTGATATCCAGGCAATAGAAGCAGAAATAGAAAGGTAAAGTCTCTCTCTTTTCTAATGTGTTCATGATTGCAGTGGGGGTATTCCTGTTTCCTGATAACTTACAGGTATGGAGGTATTGTTTTGGGTGGCTGAGTTGTTGGTTTGTATGTCCATTTGCCTGGACAGAGTAGGTTGACAGCACATGGGTGGAAGGAAGATGAATGACAGGCAGAATGACAGGAGGTCACAGGTCTCAGAATCTGGCTGGGAGCTAGCAGAGGGAATTCCGGAAGCATACCTCCCAGAAGTCTGAAATCTCTGATTTCTTGACTGGTACAAGTACAGGTATTCTCATGAAGTCACTGACTGTTCATATGCAGTATTTGTGATTTATGATGATATCCATTTTGCCTGTGCAGAGTTAAACAGGAGAAGCAGGTGACTCAGGAATACAGAAGAAACCTGTCGACTGGTAACAGTGCGTCCTGCTCCACCTCCGTGGCCAGCTCAGAGTACGACGCGGACGAGGACACCATCATCGATGTCGGCGGCATCTCCGATAACTTCTTTAGTGGGTCCGAGTCAGACTACCTTAATACATCCATCCTGAATCTTCTCGAGGATGGAAATGCAACAGGTGAGTGTAGAGGATTTTATACATTAATATTCAGATACTGTCATTACAAAGCATTCATGTGTATTTGAATGACATGAATTAAATATTCCTGTCAGTATGTTTAAAATTCTTTAGATACCAATTGTAATGCAAGGAAGCAGACAATTTTGAATGACTCTTATTCTTGCACTAGACATGAAGCTTAGAAATTAGTGGCCATCTTGTTCATTTACAGTTGCCTGTTTTCTCCTTCTCAGACCATGTTTCTCTGAGCACCTTTGAGTTGTCAGACAGTGACCTTGACCTACAAGTGGCAAACAACGTGAGTGTAACACAGAGTAATGACAACAAAGCAGAGAGCATCCCTAGCCTACCAAATCCACCCAGCCCTCCCAAGAAGAAGAGAAAACACCTGGACAATGTCCCATGGTAGGTAGTAGGGTGTTAACTTAATCGTGACAAGTTTTTATGCATGCTCTGTATCTGTATCTGTATAGCCGGTATAACTGCCTTTCAGCGTAACACACCAGCTAACAATTTCTGCTACTTGATCTTGAAGATATCTTGAATTGTGATGCCACTAATGTACGTACACCGTTGAAGTTACAACTTTGTGGCAATTTTTGGGGTTTCAGTAATTGTATATTGTAGTCCACCAACTACCGTACCCCTGATAATGTTTTTTCCATCCTGGGATCATGTGGCCTAACGGCAGAGTGCCCGACTCAGAACCAAGAGGTCCCGGGTTCGAGTCCTGACATGCCACTGATCTTGTGCCCTTGGGGAAAAAAGGCACTTAACACGACTTTCCTCACTTAACTCAAGTGAAAATGAGTATTGTCTGTCCTGTATTTGTTCTATGCGTGGAACACAACACCAGCAACAGCTGCCTTTGTTCCACGTGTATTGTATTGTTACAATCTCAATAAATCAAATCAATCTCTCCCGCAGGACGGACATGTCAGATGAAGAGCAGATCAGTGTGGTGGAGAACCTGAGTCATGTGATCAGTAACAGCATGGGGCTCCGGGAACAACTGGAGGTGATACGAATCATCAGTCCAGATGCCAAAATACATCCCACAGACAGCGAGTTTGTCATAGGTGAGACTTCTCAACGCCACTTTCTCTTCAGAGTTGTTCTGCTGGTGGATTTACAGAATATACATTGATGGTCATGCCTTACAGAGAATAAACCACTAAAAATGTTCCTGGAGCAACTTGCAGTTTCAGTGGGTTTGGAACTGTATATTTTATATAATAGCTTATCTATCCTCCAAGCTATACAAACAGAGTAGTTTCAAGTGATCTTGACTTGAATCTTTGAATTACTGCCTACTATAGAGGCTCTCTATACAACAACAGTTGTGTGATGGTTCCAGTTGCACCACAAGCAGGTCTTCCTGCAATGTCTTTGTTGCCTGAAGGTCTTATTACCAGTGGTGCCAGAAAAATACTGCAAGTTATAACTACCAACTTCTACAATGATGTTAGATGTTGGCTTTAAGGCTTGCAAACAGGTTAATCCAACACACAAGTCTTGTGCTCTGAACCCAACACAATACATCAGAAAACCAGTCTTAACAGTTCGAGACACTTCTCTTAAAGATAAAAACCTTGACAAACAGTCATACATCAGTCCTATCATACCTCACACTTACTCCCCCTCTCTCTGATGCAGATCTAGATGAAATAGATGATGCGAAGCTGCAGCAGGTTCGGAACTTTGTGAAGACATGTATAGACAAGAGAAGTAAAGACTGCAGCTCGTCCTCCAGCAGCTGCAGTGAGTCCAGCAGCAGTGGCTGCAGCAGCTCCAGCGATGGGCATGTGCACACCATGACACAGGCCGAGAAGACAAAGGAATCAAAGGTCAGTTTGTATTAACATGCTTCCTACAACTTGGTTACAGTTTGCTGTAGCTGTAGCGTGGTTACAGTTTGCTGTAGTCCAATTGTTAAGCTTTATGAAACTGAAAAAGCACTTAAAATGGTCGGTTCTGTTTAAGGCAACATGGAGAACTAACTAACCTTAAGGCTTGTTTATTTCCTTTGTGTAATAGGAAAGCCCTAAAGTTCATGCTTGTCCTACTTATAGAGACAATCTCGTGAAAGAAGAAACCAGCTGAAAGCCCTGAGACAGAGACAGAAGAAAGAACACAGACAGGCCATGAAGGAAAAAAGAAGTGGGTTTTTTGGCAAAGAGGAGGTATGTAGTCAATATATGTTCCAAATAAACATTGCCTTTTTTTCTTTGTCATAGTCATGGTTACATCAAAAAGGAACAAGCCTAGCGATTTCAATATATTGTAATTCAATATATCTTATAAGGGTCTCTTATTATCATGAAGTGTGAATGTTTCTTAGGTTTAGTAGATTGAACATTGCTGGTGTTCCAGAGATGACAACTGGTTCTACTCTTCCTTCCTTCCAGGTCCTTAATTTGCAGAGGGTAAAAGAAGAGGAGGAGGAATCTCTTGACGTGGACATACTTGGATGACATCACGCTCCCATGGGAGTTTGTTACTATAAAATTCAGTTTTGACAAGTCTGTCCAGTTGCAATCCTATTGTGCTGCATTGTTGCAGAAAGTTCTCAACATGGTTCCCAATTCAAAGAAATCTGAAGCATTTTATGTTAGTAACAATCCAGTCCAGAGTATTGCATGCAGTCTTCCAGTAGACTTTGGGAATATTGGATGATTGTTCTTGTACAAAAGTTGCTCTGTGTGAGGGTTTGGCAAGACTAGAGAACTTTTTGTATTGTGAGCAGTGAGATGATTTAAAACAGATTAGTTGTTACTCATGGACACTGCCATTTGTACCGAAGCAAGAGACATACAGTAACAAAAAATTTGATGAAATTCTTGATGCTCTCATGTCAAAGGAATAAATCTGACCTCCCATCACCACCACTGATTTAAACTAGGAAATTGCTACCAGTCAGCTCTTGTGATAAGGCAGGAGTACCTGCTTATGATCCACATTTGGTATATTGCATCTTTTCCTCTTGATCATTGAAAACAGCCAACTCAGGAGCTCTACAAAAATTAGAAACCAAAGAGCATCAGATTTAGTATCAGTACTCATTTATGACTTTTTTTTACAAAAAATTAGAGGACGTTAAGTAGGAACCTTGAGTATACGTGATGATGACTCTCTGCAATAATTGGCTACAGTATCAACGACTTCACCACCACACAGAACATGGCCATTTGCACTGTGTGCATCCTTATCGCGGAAAGACAGAGTTGTACTTACCAGAACCAAATGTGTATTATTTATTCAATATTAACTGATATAAAAGAGTAAAAAATATCGTAACAGTGCTGTCCAGAGGGATGCACACTCTGCACTGGCCGTGAATTTGATTGGTGACGGATTTCAATGATTAACATCTCTGCAAGCACATGAAAGAACAGCCAGAAGCTGACCAGGTTCAACAGTGAAAAGGAAACGTGAACATCTGAGTCCCTGGCGGTACTGGCCAAACATTTTGTATGCCGTGCTGGAGGGAGGCAAGTTAACAACTGCTGAAGTGCTGAGCTGGTCAAACTGCAGGTCCAGTGCCCTTAGTCATGAAAGGTTCAAGCTGTGATTGTGTAGAAAACAAATGTGTGGTAATAGCTGTTTTGTACTTTCCTGAATAACAACAGGATTTCTGTTGCAGCTAAGTCAACTTTCAGGGGCCACTGCTCGTTTGTGTTTCATTTTGTGAAACCCACAAAATATTTATGTCCAAGAAATTGCATCAGTGCTCAACACACTTGAAACCATTGGATTGAAATACTGTTGCATTGGAGAAGGTGAAAGAGTCTGGAGACAGACCTGGACCTGTGTGTGAAAGTGTTGAAACTTGCCTCCTTCCTGTTCCAGCCAAATTGAAATGTCCTCTGCATTGTTTCAAGCAATATTGGTGTGCTAACTCATGTCTCAGGCATGGTCTGCTTGCCAGTAAACTTGACATGGGTACCAGTACTGAACACAGTCCACAGCAAAACATGTTGACTTACTGGCTTTGTATTTGCTTTTGTAACTTGAAACCCCCTTGTACTTGTATGATTTGCTTGTAGTAGCTTTTGTGTTGTTTTATGTGCCTGAAATGAAAGCAACTGCATCACAATCTTGGACTTATTTTTAGATATGAATTCCCTTACCTGTGAACAAGATAAAACTGCATCATGTTTAATAAAAGTTGTGCCCTATGAATTGTTCTTGAATATAGTTGTATGAATGTTGGCCTTGTACTTCTCAAGAATTGTTCACTGCCTATTTGTACATTGGTGTTCTCTCACTTAATGTACCAATAACTGGCAGTCCAATGCAATTAGCACGTGTCATGGGTTGCATTAGCATCACATTTGTTGGTAAATAGGAATCCATGTAAGTTGTTTCAACAACAAAGAACATCAAGGAATACAAACTGTCTGAGGCACATTTGAGAGTACCAAAGAAGAACTTGTTTTGTCTCAGTTTACACTGTGGTCTTCAGTACTAGTATCTGGGACAATCCATTTATTTTCATGGGGGGAGGTGTTCTTGTTTTTGTCTGGGTTTATCTGCCATTCTCATGCTGCAACGTCTTAAGGGTGGTAACTTGGAAACAATCAATGTTGTGGGGTATTGACTCACACAAATCCATTAAGTTCTGTCATGTGAAGAATTGTGCTTTTCAGTTCAAGTGTATTACCCTTACAAGGTCTGAATAAATGCAGATGACACTCCACTCTGATAGTACTTCATTCTTTGCTGTTTATTTCAACAATTCTTTAGCAAGGAGAAAATAGTCTTGTACAGCTGCAGGATGTAGAACAACAGACAATAAATCAGATAATGCGTAAGAAACTATTAGATTTCCTATTTGAGACCATTCCATAATGCATGATCAAAACTATAACATTATCCATTTATTTACATACCTGTGTCTATGAATCGATTATATAGCAAAATACAGCAAATTTACAGTTCTCTAACATTGGGTGCACAGCTGTATCTAGTCACGATCCAGCCATGTACCCTTCGGAACACCCGAGCTGTCGTGCCTATCAGCTCAAACCCAAAGTGATTACTTCTCTCCAGCAGTGGTTTTCCGTACCACTCATCTGTGTGGTTTATGATGAGCTCTTTCCCCTCATCAGTCCTAGTCAATGTCAGGTAGGCAACAGAAGGTAGGGTGATGTCGAGTCCGGTGCCACGAAGGCAGTACTTCTGGTTCACTGTGATACGAACCCAGTCTTCAGAATGGTCCACTTTGTAGCTGAGTGTTTCTGATGTGGGGATAAACTTGACCATGTTGTACCAGGCTGCTGCTATCTCTCTCTTCCCCTTGAAGAGGAAGCAGGGATCTTCGACTGTAGCTTCAGGGGCATAGAACTCCATCGCTCCCAGTGATGGCTTGGACTGGTACAGGCTGAGGACAGCTTGTACCATGGGCTCCCTGGACTCTTGGGTGGCACTTTCCAACTGGAAAAGAAACAACAACATGAAGACATACCTAAAGGCATTGCTAATTCTTCATAAAAGCTGATCCTACTGAATGTTTTACAGTCTGTATGACCAGCCTGTCTTACCTTAGGTTTGGCAGACACGGGTTCCATCCCTGAGTGAAACATGCCCTTGCTGCCATCGCCCCAGTTTGGCTGCACGTTGTTAGGTGGTGCTGTTTTCAGGTGATAGACCAAGTAGCACTGGAGCCCTACATAGTAGGTGGTGACTCCAGCAATGCCCCGCCTAAAGACCCCCATGACTTGTGGATGGACCTGAAAAAAAGTGAAAGTACGATAATCAAACATGACGACACAATAGGTTGAAAACTCATGCACATGGCTAAGCCAATACGTATGTCAAGTCAAGGAAGAAGTCAAACGTTTCTTGTGGTTCAAGGTACCCCAGCTCCAAAAGTTGTGACTTTACGCCCCTCCCCATTTTACCTGGCCACCGTGCACCACACAATACTTTAGTTTTTATAGCAGAGAAAAAACAAAATTACCTCCGACGGCAATGGCGTTACTTTCAGACCGCAACAGGAAATCTTCCACGTAGGGTGTGAAGATTTTCTCAAGGCAAGGAGGTTCTCAAACAACCTTTTAGCTTCTTCCACACAGTCACATGTAGGTCATCGCAAGTTAGCAACACCTCGTGTCATAGGTTACGAGGTCAACCAAGGTCAATGACCGATGATGTGGTTGACCAAAATAGCATTTTCGTCATCATACACTGGATGAAATACTTGCCCTTTTTAGATTATAGTAATATACTGTGTCACGCACATAATTGCAGCTAGGAACTTGAATAATTTTGGCGGTTTACATGATTTTTGTGGACGATGCGATGACGTCAGTCGTTGCACCAACCCGGAAGTGAAGCTGTGTTGAAAGTTCAAACTGATCAGAACTTTGTGAGAGATCTTGTCACCGTGTTTGCCGCTCGCTGTTCAGGTAAATGTGAAATCAGACCGCTTTTTCGCCGCTCCAAAACGTCGACGTGGGCCTGTTAACTGTGATACAATGTCCTCGGTACAAATACACCGGTGATTTTAGGCCTTTTATTTAGCACATGCCTGTGTAAAAACAAATCCTAACAGTAAACTATGCCACTTCTGTCATGTGACTTACTTTTGAATGTAACCTTTCAAAAATCATATGGGTAATTACATGTATTACGTTACATTTGCATGGAGTTGTTTTTAAGAGTTTGGGCAATGTGTTGAAAAAATGGGATTTGACATGAAGCACGTTATCAATTATTCATCACCTGTTACGTGTATGACATCATAATTTGATAGGGGAAGATTGCGTGACAGTACAACCCTGTACCAGGCATGAACTGTTATGGGTCTAAAACATCATATTTCAAAAATGGCATTGACTCTATCCTGAAGCACCAGACATTGGTGTTTAACATACAGGTACCATGAATGAAATTGCTATGATCTAACATCTTACCAAAATCCTGGTTGTAAAGTTTCCAGCTTCTTAATAATCTTATCTCACAAACTGAGTGATACATCAAGATGTAATGCCACAAGTGACAGCTGTATGTATGAATGAATGACTGCCAGTATTTTGGGCTTTTGTTTGAGGAGTCCCAGCTGTTGTATTTAATGTGATGTTGCCATGACAACTGTTATGCGACTTAATTGTCAGGGGACCTGTAGTGTGTTAGGTCATCACTCATGTGATATTCTGCCCTTCATACCACGTCATTAGGGTAAAGCAAAGAGGTTAGCAGAAGTGTCCATTTGGGACAGCTGAGGTAGGGAAGCTTCTAGTAGCATTAGAAAGCAATAAATAAAACATCTTGTGACTGTAAAATGTCCATGTATATTTTAGAAATTGGTTTATAGATAAGATCTTAAGGTTTCATTTATACTACATGTAGTACCAAGTGTCATGCTATTGGAATGAAAACCTGTAAAAATTTGTCCCCCAATTTGCCAATGAAACTGTCCATGGGATTACCAATGACTCAGAAAGACCATAATCCAGAAGGCTTAAGGAATTTTTGTGTAGGCAAATCATCACAAGAATGACTGCAGGGTTACTTAAGAGTTATATGTGTAACAGTACATGATAGCATCTATGGGAAGAGCATCGATACATGTTGTATCTACAAGTACAGTGAAGAGCTGCCTGGAGATTTTCCTTCCTACTCTCAGGTCATGAAGATAATGCCTCGAACACAGAGGACGATGCCAAATTCCAATCTACCTCCGCTAAATGTGCCAGATGACTCTTCATCAGTCTCTTTTGCCCAGGACTCCTCCCAGTCATGGGTGGTACAGTTTAAGGTGCACGGAGACAGCATGGCCCAGCAGCCCAAGAAGACGCTGTACCTGGCCAACGACTTTGACTCGCTTCACAAACTGGCAGATGTGGAGTTCCAGGCTGGAGGCTGGATACTCAAGTATGTTGTATTCATCATCATTAAGTTTTTCATTAACCTTAAATTTATTTGCAAAGGTTTATTGCAAGAGTGTTTTCCAGCCTACTAACTAAATTACACATTGTATCACATTGGACATACATGTATAATTAAAAATAAATATTTAAAAGCATGATCTTAAAAATCCAAAGGATGATTTCATTTGGAATATCAGAAGCTAGGACTCAGGCATATTGACAAGATGACCATTCTCCTTTCCATTACAATCACAAGTTTCTTGTTGGCTATGATACTAAGGCTTGGAATAGTTGTAGGATCGACATGTTTTCAAAGTGTTTTTTTATGTGTTTTTATATCTGTAACGTTATTCATGTCAAGGCATGCAGAAACAGCCAAGAAGCTGTTTGCAGCTGCGGAGGCAGCTGGACAGGAGGGAGATGAGGAGAAGGCGTTTGTGTACTACATGCGCTACCTGAACCTTCTGCACAAGGTGTGCTGCACACAGGAGTACAGGAAGAAGAAGGTAACTTTTCGCAGTTTTCTCAAGTTCTGTAATTTCATAGCTTAATTCCTTAGTTTTATCAAGGGTGTTATATCCTCCTTGGTTTTCTATACAGGTAGACTCTTCAGAAGTTAAGAATGCATCTTATAGTATAGCATTCTAGTGTCTATACATGTATGACCTTTGGAAGCAGATGAAAACTGTACCACTGTACTCATGATGGTTAGGGATCTTGCTGTTTTTCATTTCATTTCATTGATACAGTGCACCCACTCCTCCCCAATATAACCAACTTCTTTTTAAGTTCAAGAACATGCATAAACGTTAAGTAGAGAGATTTTGAAATAGTTTAAATGGATTAATTCCTTTTTTCTTTATGATTAATTTCTAGGAACAACAACCGGAGCTGGTGGTGCCCTTGTTCTCCATGAGATCTCCAGCTGGCATGAAGGCCATTCAGGAGGCTGAGAGACTGAAAGAAAGCTTAAAGATTAGGTAAGAGATGTCTTGCAATACTCCTGTACAATTTGGGTCTAACTCATAGTGGATGTAATGATGTTTTAAGTTTCTCCTTCCTGAAGCACCAAATCTGTATTGGATATGGGGATAGGCAGCCAGAAGCTAGAAGGTAAATTGAGAGAAAGAATTCACAAGTGCATGATTGTGTTAAGATTGTTTCATACATTCTAATATTAGCTTGCTACAGGGATATCCCTGGGACTTTTTGTTGTGAAAGATTACCAGGTATCAATAGATTTATACCATGATCAGACAGAGTCTCAGTATAACATGTATGATTATGTTTCTGTCTTCCTCAGGTATGAGCAGTTGGCCCGGGCCAGGGCACAGCAACATCAATACCAGTATCAACAAGGTCAGGTCATCTCATGTATACTGATATACAGTATTTCACTATTTAATATCTAAATAGAAATTTCTCATTAAAAAGTCTAGATCGGACTAATAGTGGTACATGTGGTAAAAAGTGTACTTTGATCTTGTTTGACAAACCAATGTGTATCATGTCTAATGATATCACCCAGCCATCCTCAAAATAAGGACATGTTTTACTTTAAAATTCTAGCTACAATTTACTTCTACATGTATCGTCTGTATTTCTCTAGTTGTTGGCAGAAACACATTGAAACTGTTGATTTGACAGTGCCTGCAGTACAGGTGTTATCACATGTTGTTTTTGTTGTTAGACTTAGAGGTGCCTGAGTCTTGTCCAACCCCACCACCCTACACCCCGGTACCGGAGCCCCCTCCACCTTATACTGCAGTACAGCCTGCAGTAGTTATACCGTCAGCACCTCTGCTAGGTGCTGTTGTTTTCTCAACTAGTCAATCCAAATTGATCAAGTCCATATCACATCAATCATTGCTGAACTTTTCTTGATAAAAGAATCCATTCATCTGTGGTTCATCTGCAAATTACTGATTAATCCCATGTCTGCCAATTATACAGACATTAGACAAAATGAAAAGTTGTGGACAGAAGCAAAATAATACAAACAGAAACATCAGTATCAATGAAATAAGTTAAAGATGAACCACTACAGACAAATCAGTAAATTTGTTAATGCTTGTATCCACTTTCAAAGTCACTTTATTCTGTTCATGTAGTATAATATAGTAATCTTTACTACTTTTTTGCTGTTTCTATGTTTTATTAATCTTTTGTGTAGATGATCATTCTAGAGTACAAGAATGAAGATGGGCAAATGTACAATTACAAGTTTTCTTTTCCAAACCTTTCGCATAATATGATCTTTATAGATCAAGAAAATGTCACATTATTTAATATATGGACTCTTTATCCCTCTTTACAGAGCCAAGGACAGCTCAGCAAGGCCTTCCACAACAGGTGACTGCACCAACCCCTAGACCAGTGCCCCCTACTGTTCCACCTGTGAACTACACACAACGACCACCACATCCACCAGCACCATCAGCTCCTCCACCACCGGTTTTGTACCCAGGGCCACAGCCATCTACACCAGCTACACCACCACTGGTGTCATACCCTGGGCCACAGCCACCTACACCAGCTCCAGCACCACCAGTGTCGTACCCTGGCCCACAGCCACCTACATCAGCTACACCACCACCGGTGTCATACCCTGGGCCACAGCCGCCTACAGGGTTTACAGGCACAGGCGTACCTCCTGTACCGCAAAATTACCCTGCATACCCCTCTGATGCTGCTCAAGAACCTGGTACACGACCTCGTGTGCCTTTATACCCAACAATAGGAGACACAGGTGCTGGTGCCACAGAGTCATCTCCTGTAGATGGTGCTACACAGGGGGATAGGCAGTCATCAGATTCTCCTTCACCACATGAACTCCCAGGGGATGGAAAAAGAGATGCTGAAGATGAAAGTGGGAGGGCATCCCCTGATCTTAGTGACTTTGTTGTTTACGGTGAAGGTGAGATAAATGAAGACAGGGACTCAACAGGCCTTGAAGAAGTTAAAAAACCTGAAGTGCCTACATCAGAGGATAGGAGTGTCACAGAAGATGGGAGTAGTAATGTGCCTGATGGTGAGGAGGACAGGGAAGCTGGCATCCCCCAGGAGACTCCCACGTCATCGGGACAGAAGGATGATACTGGTGATGAGAAGGTGGCTCTTCCCCCCAGTGATGAGTATGCATCAGCAGCTGGTGGTGGTGTGGCCAAAGGTGGTGGTGCTGAGGCTGAGGGTGGTGAGGGGGTGAGAACTGGACAGGAGGGCACAGCAGGACAGGATGGAGGTGTGGATGGGTTGATAGATGGCATGGCATCTCTTCATCTGCAGGTGGGACAATTAACTTTATTTTGACTTTACAGATATGAAAGCTGGCAAAAAAGTTTGTACTTTGTGGGTTTGAAAATAAAAATACTGATATTTTCTAAACACTTTGTCCAACAGGATGTTCCATCTCCTGACTTGGGTGCACCAGAAGACCTCCCCAGACCTCTGGAGGACCCGGAGTCAGCCATGCCTACAGACAGCACACAGGACACAGGGGATGTGGCAGGTATGGACATGATAACTGGTGGCAAACTTTCATGGTCAATCATGGAAGTCATGGAATAGAATGATTACATTTAGTATTTTTTTAACTATGGCTTCAATTAGACTAGTTGACATACTAGGATTCAGTCATACATATTATACTACATTTGCATCATTTGTACATAATTATGACTCATGAAACAGGAAATATGGGCTATGATATCCTTGATGCCTGACTGTGTTACTTGAGTGACAGATGATGCCTCCATAAAAAGTCCCACTGGAATCGGTTCACCACAGTGTGGCTTGTGGTTGGCCAACTGTTTCTTGGTTTGGCATTGACTGGCAGGTGATCTGTCAGGTTTAATCTCATCAAGGAAATGCAACCATCCTAACTTTCAGCTCAATGGCAGGAACATGATAAAAACATGTACACCAAACACTCCAACCCATACCTTTTTAACAATACTTTTTATCAAAAATTTTTAATTATATTTTAGAGGACTACTTATATATTAGCCAAGTAGTGGCTTCTCATTTCAAGGTGATTTTAGATTGATTCCTGTACTTCTCTCAAGATATGATATAAAAAATAAACAAGAACCATGTGGAGCTAAAAGTTTGCAAAGGCAAGCTTAGGGAAAATCATAAAAAGTGATTTTGTATTGTAGGTGAGAGTGCTCTCTGGCCCTGTGTGCAGTGCACATACCTGAATGAAGAATGGCGTCACCACTGTGAGATGTGTTACAGTAAGTGTTTTACATACGATGCCGCTATCTTTTACTTCATACTTTAAGGCACTGATGTCATGTTTTGTATTTGTACGACTTTGTGATCTTCAGAAAGATCTGTTGAAGACATAAACTGTTTTAAAAAGATGTTGGCACATGGTAGCTGAGCCTGATAATCATTTGTTGTCTAGATTTTATCCCATGGGATGTCTCATATTCGGGTAGGAAATGACTCATTTATTGGTTATCATGTTGCAAGAGGTCGCTTTTTAGGCACAGTAATAATATCAGTATAATGCTCCTTTCCTATTGGGTTACTATATAGTACATGTTCTACATAGAGTGGAGTAGCTTTTTGTGTAGCTGTATTTGCTGAAGCCACTGAACATAGATGGATTTTGCAAGACTACAGCTGAGGATTGCAAGGCTACAGTTGAGAATATTTTCAGGAATGACTGGGGGTAAGTTCAAAGAAGTTCTAGCAATAAATAAGGTCAATTCATCTTGGTCCCACGTAAATAATTGCTAAATATTCAGGTCATTCAGACAAACATTTGAAAGATGAAGTGCAAGGCAGCATTTGAACAGATATTTTGGATAAATGTTTCGAAATATTTTTGCTGGGGCATGAAAGTGAAAAGATGTTATAATACACCCACATTTTACCATTGTCAGTTATTTTTACATGTTACATCTCTTTGTGTTACAGACAGTAGAGACACCAGTTTCATAGGTAACCCTCCTGGCTTTGGCTCAACTCTTCAGAACATAGGTATGTATCATCACCATGGTAACTTTATACATGGTTTGAAGTCTGTCTCTAATGAATTGTTGATTCTGCTAATTGCATTACAAGTAACCTTTGCTGGTAAAATTGGGATAAAATTTTGCATAAAGAGTTCATCTTACATCAAGTGTGTTAATAGGTTTTACTACAACTTGCATTTCAGCACTGCGGCCAGAGTCAGCGGTACCAGAGCCTGAAAGGGAGACTGTAGCCTCTGACCAGTCTCCTGAGGATAGTGGGGATGAGTACAACAGTGCCCCAGAGGACAGTATCACAGATAACACTGCAGGTACGGGGTTAGGGACCCGTAGGCATATCCTGATGTCATGTTCTCCAATATGCAGTACTCAATGCACTGGCATGTATACGTGAAATCTTTTTGTCAGTACATTTTTGTCAGTATATGAGATAGAAACTGTTACATCTACATCAAGATGAGTATCATTTTTCTTACCTTTGGAGTTATATGCTACTTCCATATTCATAGCTGTGATGACAGTGGTGATAGAAAATTGTAGGATTGTAGTGATAGTGGCAAAAGGTGTAACTTCCTAAAAAAATCTTCCCCCATTCCAGATGAAGGAGACAGAATGACGTGGGTGTGTCACAGGTGCACGTATGTCAACACTGGTGCCAGTCCCATCTGTAGCATGTGCAGAGGTAGGTCTGGAACTGCTCGTACCTTTCTTGGTTTGCAAGACTCACTCAAACTATTGAATATTGTCCCATAGATATCTTTCACAATTAAACTAATTTTGTGTTGCTTTCATGGTACTCAAAAAGAAAGCAAGGGTTAAGCATGATTTCATAATCATAGCTGTTTATGACACCATACAGATTATTGTTTCTGTTTCATCCTCCCCTAGTTCTCAGAAGAGTTGACTATCCTGTGCCAGATGAGACAGTTGAAGATGTCTCCTCTCGGTTTGGCCGTCTAACTCGGCCTCCACTCAGGTTGGTTATGTACTGTTGCAATCCATATCTAGAAATAGATTTGAAGTCCCAGATCATGAGGTCTAATATCACCTCACCTCACCAGTCCCATAGCTGTCCTGTGTCAGCCGTAGGAGCAATATAACTTTCAACAAGAGGTCTCCACTCCCGGGCGATCCTCTGCCAGTCTTGCCAGCTGGCTTATGGGTTGTCCTGACTCCTGACCATTCTTTAATGCTCTACATGTTTTTGTAACATGCACCCAATTTATTATATTTCTGTCCTAAACTGCCAAAATGGAAATAAGTCCCTGCAGACATAAATTAATGAACTGAGTGTCTGTTCTCTCATAGGAGTACAGCCCCAGGTGCTTCAGCTGCAGACAGTACAGCCCGTGGAGGGACAGCATTGCTGGACAGCTTGAGACAGCAGCTGGCCATGAACCAAGGTTACCACAAACACAGCGTCACGGTGAGCCGGGACTCCATCCACGCAGACGTCATAGGTCTGTACTCAGACACAGACAGGAGAACCTGGACACATCAGATCAGGGTCACCTTCAAGGTAGGAACAGTTCCACGAAAGGTACTGACTGGTAGGTTTACAGGTCATGTCTACAGTAGATGTATGTGTCTATGATAGAGAAGAATACTACAACAACTGCAAAAACAGACCTTTTATACATATACATATACAAAGTACCTTTTGGAAGTCATTTCCATCTTCCTAAAGCTGTTTGAAAATGTATGTTCTACTTTAGTAATCATTATTTTTTAAGACAGCCACACAAGTACATGTATTTGCATTGAAAAGGGAGTATCAGAGAAGAACACTACTTTGCCAGGGTTGTAACTGGCCGTCAACTGTTAATGTTGCCACAATCATGCAACATCAGACGGGCATAACCTCTACCTCATAGTTGATGTTTATGCTGACTTGCGGCAAAGCTGACTTCTCCCTGTACTCCTGCAGGGTGAGCCATCGGTGGATGTGAAGGGGGTCAGCAGGGAGATGTTCACTATCTTCTGGGAGGCCGTGAAGCAGAAGTCCACGGCTGGAGCGGACGTTCGCCTGCCGATCTCCACCCCCGAGTATAACCAGCGGTACTGGGAGGCCGTGGGGAGGGCGCTGTGCCACTGTTACGTGCTGGTCGGACACTATCCTGTGGATGTCATCTCAGAGGTAGGACTAATTGTAATTGTGTTTATTCTTTGTACAGTGACAGTGTGATGTTATACATTCATACCCATACCTGACTGGGAGAAGACACTCAAAATTTATACCTGCAGCACTAGTGGTACTAGAAACTACTCTGTAGGGACAAGTATGGTGGTGATAAAAACTTGTATTGAAAGGCATGGAGCAAGAGACACAGTGTTATTTTGTGTCTTTCTTCAGGTGATCACTTTGCACATTCTGGACAAGAAACCTACCAAGTCAGCTCTCGAGGAGGCCTTCCTCAACACACTCACAGAAACAGAGAGAACCCTGCTCAAATCCCAGTTTGACAACTACACGCCAGAAAACTTCATGTCCAAGAAGACAGAGCTGAGAGACTTTCTCATCAACTGTGAGACTCAGACGATTCCAACGTTTGAGGATTTTCCGGAGATCTTCCATCGCGTGGCAGAGTTCAAGGTGTTTGAGGAACCAAAGGCCGCCATTTTGGGCATTGCATCAGGTTTTGAAGAAGCCAGTGCCGACATTTTTAAACAGGTGACCACGGAGGACATCCACGCCTTGTATTCATCTCTGCAGCCAACCGCAAACAACATCATTGGTAAGCTGGAACTGACCAGTCAGAGTCAGCGCGGGGAGGGGCCCAGGGTCTTCTCCATGCTGACGTCGTTCCTGCATGGCTCCAACGAAGACGTCTGCAGAAAGTTCCTCCGCTTCGTAACAGGAAGCAACCTACTCAGCATGGACCAGATCAAGGTGCGCGTGGACCCGGGGGTGCGCGGCATCGAGTCCCACACCTGCTTTAACGAGATCGCACTGCCTACCTTCCAGGAGTGTTCCAGTCAGGAGCAGTTCAACCAGGTGTGGATGACTCTACTGGAGGACAGCGCTGCGTGGGAGTACAACTTGACATGAAAACAGCTTAAAGCAACTCAGAATAGAGACCTTTATAGCTTTCTCTGATGATTTCTGAAAGGCTCACTAAGGTGCACTTAGGTGCACCTGTTCCACCATGCCCTCCATGTACATATGTATGTGGTTAATTGTAATAAATAAATAAATAAGTAAAGCAACTCAACAGAAAAGTAGACATTCTCATTGTTCCATGATGGTGAAAGTGCAAAGTAGTTGTGAACAAATATGGTACATGTAAGTCATGACTGTGATATCATTGATTGGAACTGAAATCTGATAGCAACATTCACCACAGGCTTTGGTGGAATGTAAGACGTGTTGTCACTGCTTTAGGCTTTTCTATACAGCCTTAAGAGGTAGTGTTGCTAGGACATCATTTGCAGCAGAAGTTGCAAACACCAGGAAAGATACTTCCCCTGAATTCACAACTTCTTTTGCCGTTGATCATATATACCTGATACACGTCAACCTACTTCTGGGAACACACGTACATGTACAATAACTTCGCATGGGTGGTCATAACTGTAGCACTTCCCAACATATATGGACTAACTGAAACAGGCCTTGAGTAGAAGGGACGGGGAGTGACTCTGTTTATAGGCTGAACCATACACTGCTGTGTTCTCCTCTCCATTTCCACACCGGGGCCTGGCCGGGCTGTTTCGGTTAACGAAAATAAAAAATTTATACCAACAATATACGCAGGTAGTCCCCATTATTAAATTTTTCAACTATTTTGTGCTTTGTTGTCTTTTATATCATAATATTGTTTCCCTAAGACTGTTTAAAATTTTAAGTCTCTCTGGTGGAATTGAGAGACTCTCTGGTGGAATCTCGGTTTGGAAATCTGACTTCAGCATTATGTGGCCTTCAGCCACGTCAGGTGGTGCGCCCCCCCGTTCACAATTTTTTTGATCCGCAGATGCACAGGGCCGCAGGCTGGTCAGCAGAATAGGTAAGATGACCAGTCCATGAGCCGCACCAAAGACCATGACCAGGAAAACGGTCTTGAACAACGTCCGAAAAAGATAGGCTGGAAAAAAAGCGAGAACTGATATGCCCAGGATGGTGGAAAGAGAGGATTGCAGTATAGGCATGCCGACGGCTCGCATAGTCTCTGTGATTTTTTCCTCAGGCGTTGCGGCTTTGGAAGTGACGTAAGTGTAGTTCATGTGTGCGAAGAAATCCACGGAGAAACCGACACAGATGACAATAGACACTAAAGAGATGATGTCGAGATTTACCCCCCATAAAGTCATGTACCCCAAAAGGCCCACGTTGATGGACGCCAGAGCCAAGGTGGCGAGGAAAGGAGCGGCCCAGTGCGGAATCAAGAGGAAGCACACTACAAACATGATCGCTACGGCAATGCCCGCCGTCTGTACCGAGCTTGGAGGGATAGCGTCGAGATGGTCTAACTGAAAGAAGTCATAGCTGTATGCCTTCATTCTTAAAGGCTCGCGATCTGCGATACTACGAGCTTCTGTCATCATGGCTCTCCCTCGCTCGCTTGGAGTTATCATGTTCTTTGGTACAACAAAGAACCGTGACGCGGTTATACCAGTGGTAATGTTTGTAATATTCACAGATCTAAGATACTGCCGTCCAACCGTTGGCAGAAACTGACCGTTTAGGATTTGCAAAAATAACGTTTTGTTTTTGGCAGCAATAGAGTTGCCAGTCTGATTCAGAAAACGGAGATAGTCTAGCAACCAGACCCCTCCAGTCTCTGATGTGTCGTGGAAATACTGGCTTTGGTCGAAAGCTTGTAGTTTATCTAAGACAGCCTGTTGCACGTCTAATGTCCAATACTCCTGGGGTTCTGATATAAAGATATCTACTTTACGGCCATATGTTTGAAAGTGCGTATCCACTGCATCATAATATCCACGGACGTATGAGTCTTCCGCTACCAACCGTTGGTTCGTAATGCCTATACGGACTTGAAGGCACCCCCAGATTGCTACTCCCAGATAAGCAGCATACAAAAGAATTATGACCACTTTTGACGAGGGTTTCAAAATGAATGGAACAAGGTTATTGTACAATAACCTGTTTAACAGCGGATCTTTGTTGAACTCCTCTGATGAGGGGTTGTCAAACATGCCCTCCTGCCTGGACACGCCTGCTGCACAACAGAGTCGATAGGCAGCGCTCTTGTCGTGTGCCTCCGATTTGGGCAGGACGGGCCGGCAGGTGAGGCAGTGACGGTTGGCCCGCTCTCGGCGCCCGGTCAGGGACATGAAGGCAGCGAAGAAGGTGATCTATAAGCGGAAAAAAAGTTAAAGCAATGCATGAACAGAGTACTACAAACATAAGATGCATTATGATTTCCATATTCTATAGCAGGACAGTTTGTAGAACTGATCATAAAATTCTTTGATAAACAACCGAGAGCACATATTATAGACGTTTTGGAAATCCATTTGCTACTTTCTTTAGGGTAACAATGCCTCAATTTGCAATATTTTCCCACCACTAGGTGGCACTGCAGCGGGGAGAATTTGGTCCCACACATGGGTACGTCTGTATCCCCGGCCTCACCATAGTGAATGACTGGGGTACATTTTCTGATCCATTCATCTTTACTGTACATCAAAGAAGAAATCCATGGACAAAGTGATGACTCTCTAATATTATTATTATACATACATAACGTACCTGATAGAGGAAATCAAAGGCGACCCCCATGGCAGCGTAGATGCAGAAGGACCGTACGGACGGGAAGACGCTGGTGATGCCGGCGGTGAACGCGAGGCAGTCGGTGATGGACGTGATGCTGATGGACACCCCCGCGTCGGACATCGCACGGCCCATGCGCTCCTGCACCGGAAGTCTTTCGTCACACTTCCGCCAGGCGGCGATCAAGACAAACATGTCATCCACCCCGATTCCTATACGATAAGGACACTAATGAAATCAATTACTCCAATAAAAAAAGAAAGGGTAAATGTCTTAAGGATTTTTGTAAATGAAATTGAATAAAATCATCACTACTAATTGTTGTAATGATATATAATACATGTGCGTTTAGGCATTAGACTAGTATCGGTGTCATATCATCTACTAGTTATTATTAAGGACATCATATATGATGTAATGTGACAGTGCATTTTAAAAAATATTTTAGAGTGATCAAAATATGTGTGTAAGTAATTTCCCTGTCCCTAAGCCAAAAAACAAACTTTGCGAAAAAAACAAACGTTTTCCATGTTCTTACATTAGGTTACACTGGGTTTGCGGAAAAGGCTGGCCAGCCTGCAGGCTACCTGCCAGGCTTTTGGCTTTATGGAGGGAAGGGCTAGGGATACTTTGCAGGCTATCCTTTCTGTGCTCCAAAGGGTGTGCATGGGGTTTGGTTTCAAATAAATGATACTGTCTTGATCAACTGTTACATGAAAAATGGCTCTTTTAAACTCATGCCTGAAAAATCTAACATGTATTGTGAGCCTTTTCCGCAAACCCAGGTTACACCATAGGTTAGACATTTAGTTGGTAGAGGTGTGTATTCATACCTAGAAGCAGGAAGGGTATCGATGCGTTTAGTGCAGGGAAGGATTGTCCTCCCAGAAGCAAGGCTCCCATAGAGGAGGCAATAGCCAGAACCACCGACAACACGCCCATCACAGCCAACCACGGCTTGGTCAGGACCCAGTCCAGCGTCATACACGACACGACAGAGAACAGAATCAATGTTCCGACCACCACCACTATGTACGGGGCCACTCTTGCTGGTAAAGTGCCCACTTCGTCTTCCATCCATGTTAAAGCGATGTAGTTTACTTTGATGCTTTCCGACTCGAATCCCGAGCATGTCTGACGAAATGTGTCAATCCATTGGCTCAAATTTGCCTGTACGTTGTAGGTTAGATGGAGAGCCTTGCTGGATAAAATGGCACTGCTGTCTTTGCTAATTTCTACCCCTCCAAGCTCACTTCCAAAATACATGCCGAGGTCACCATCTGCTCTGTTTGGGTTGTAGTAAGGATAGGTCAGGTTCATGGCACGAAGTGCGGATCCTGAGCCGGCTGTTATCATGAGCTGCAGAACTCCACTCAGTACACATTCAGTAGTAAAGGGGTCACGGATACAAAGAGTAGAGAACGTTTCTCCTGACGTTGTATTTGCAGTTGTCAGCTCGCGGTGGAGCCGTAGTACCTCTTCAACTACATCATCTCTGAAAAGGGTGTCGCCGCCGTCTTTAGACTGGATGATGACTTCGGTCATGGCGTCGCCGGAACCAAAAAATCCGACATCTTTTAACGCTAACAAGGTTGGGAACGTTTCTGCAGTGTCTGGGGCGAACTGATCGTCTACAACGAGTCCAATCAGCCCAAAGTATCCGAGAAGTCCTGACGCGACGAGAGGCAGTAGAATGAAAGGAGCCGGCCATTTGGTCACTGCCTTACCCAAGTTGTAGAACACACGCCCTGAGGCCGCGTCGATCCATTTGGCTATCATGCCGTTATATTGATACTGAATGCTGAATTTCTCTCACCTGGCCTTCCTTTAGATTGATGTCAAATAGTGCTGAAAATAAAAGAAAATAAAGAATTAAGGTCAAAATACCTAGCCATAATAGCTACTGTAAATCTTGAAATGATGGTGGTGGTTTTATTTTTACAGTATTCACGATGACCGCTCCATCGCGAAGTATTGAGATTCGCGAATGTGATTTGTTTTATGTACAAATGTAGTTACAACAGCTGGATAACCAGGTTTTTGCCCTGAATAGTTGAAAGCAGTCCTTTTCTTCCTAGTTGTTACAGTTATTCCATCTTTCAATGCAGTGGTATCATTAAAAGTTCAAAATTCAATGTTTAAATTTTGAACCAGCCTGGTGTGTTGACTTCATGGCTCCTATCGTACCATTTTGGGCCATGATAGGATGCCTAGGCCTGTATTTTTTATTTTTTTGCCCGCCCGCTCCATTATTTTTCTAGAAAAATCCATTATCCAAGAAATCAAATTGGTGTAGCCCTACATGGGCATGAATGCACAAATAAACAGCATTTTCATTATCATTGTTTATACTGGCTGCAATGTGTCAGTGGGATGCACACCTGGCACGGACGTTTGTTTACAGGTAAACCCAGATGAAGTTACTTAACTCAGAATACATATCAGGGGAGTCCTCATAATCACGCTATTTGATCCTATCTTCTCTGATGTTTCCATAACAAGAACCATGCCGTGCTTCTGCGTTTGAATGGGGCCGGCAAACCCTTTTTCGTAGAGTGTAATTGGCCGTTTTAATTCTACGTAGAGCATAGACGGACCGGTCGAATATTGTTGCGTAGAGTGTAATCGCCATTTTAATTCCACGTAATGCGTTGTAGCCAATTGGAATTTATCGTAACCGAGAGGTTTCCGAATCCAGCGTAGAGCGTTGTCGAGACCCCTTGCAGGCCCTCTTGAATTCAAAACAAGACAATAGTGGATTACTTGTGGAAGACATGCATCAATAGCTGCATACTGGCCACAATAGTGTACCAAGGACATTTCTGTATAATGTCCTTGGGTGTACCTAGCCTAGGGCTAACGTAAAAGACTGCAAGCAAGAGAAGCCCTGCAACAGTCGCCACAGCTATGGTGTACCATACAATATACTGTATGATACAATGCCTCAATATAAGCACCTGTTTAATAACCACCTTATGGGTGTAGCATAACTTGGCCCATGCAGGCTTTGTACACAAGCTATGGAATTATGGAGACCAGACTGTTTTACAAGGTTATTAAAAATGATCTACTCACTCCGGGAGGACCTCTGCTCTTATCGACAAGGTTGGTTGGGTCATTGATGTTTCCATAACAAGAACCACGCCGTGCTTCTGCATTTGAATTTAAAACAAGACAATACGTCAATAGTGGAACTTGTGGAAGACATGCAGCTGCATACTGGCCACAATGGTGTACCAAGGACATTTCTGTATAATGTCCTTGGGTGTACCTAGCCGCGGCGACTGTTGCAGCTATGGTGTACCATACAATATACTTGGAGAAAATACTATACAAATTATGCCTCAATTAGTACCTGTTTAATAACCACCTTATGGGTGTAGCATAACTTGGCCCATGCCAGCTTTGTACACAAGCTACGGAATTAATAATGGAGACCAGACTGTTTTACAAGGTTAAATTTAAAAAAAAATGTCATCTACTCACTCCGGGCTTTTCAAGGACCTCTGCTCTTATCGACAAGGTTGGTGGGTCTTCAACCTTCTCAAGGCATGGCTTACGGAACCTCTGACTTTACGTCCCAGCTTGTGTTCCAGAATCCCGCCCTGTCAGATTGGGTCCTTTTTTCTGTGCCGGGTCCAAGTTGAAGTACACCATGGCCATCCCAGAGTCACGTGATATGGCGGGAATGTTTTCGCCCTGCTAGGGTCAGGGTCACGGGTCTCACAACGACGCGGTAATATATAACGGGGCACACTAGAGAAGGACGAAAAACGAAAGCTTCAGTTTACTTAATTGGGTATAGTCTATAAAATAACTGAAAACAACAACAACATGGTTTTATTGGCGGTGTGTTCTGTCGCCTTTACGTTTAATTATTAATACCTTACCCTACGTAAACTGATGACGACACCAGAACACGTCACTCATCTGAGTTTCGAGGTGGGCGGAACCGTTGGGAAGGGAAGGCGAAGGGGTGATCATATTGTAGACAAAAACAGTGTGAGGGCCTCAAAGTTCACTCACGTGGGTGACGTACAAAGGGTATCTGTAAAAACCGGGGCCCCGCGGGGCACCCCGAGCCCACGGGGGTGGGGGGGGGTGGTGGTGCGCGGGGGGGGGCGGTACAATATGCCTGTGCTCGTGTATTGCGCCGGAATCGCCGCTGCGATCAAGCCCGTCACGAATCGTCTTCAAAAAGGCTCGATAAACCCTGTAGCCTTCAACTGTAACCATTCTTAAAAGAGTAGAAAAGTAACATTTGCAAAGGAAATGCATAATATTTACCTTCGGATATGGCCTGCTCTTTTAATTCTTACTCAAACACATTCACACACATGTAATATGGTGACAGGTGGCTACAAACCCAACACCAGTTACTATGGTGACAGACGTCAACAAAATAGGTCATTGGCCAGGTCAGAGGTTAGTGTTTGGAACAGAAGAAGGAATGGAACAAAAACGTTTTCCTTCGGTAAACCAGTATAATGTCCTTGGGTAAACACCCTTGGTAAACATTAAAAGGGCGGGCCGAGTGGGCGGATGTCTCGCCTCGGTCCTGGCGATGCGCACCCCTCCCCCTCTGTTCTTTTTGGGGGGGGGGGCATGGTAAAAGAGCCATGGAAAAACAATCCGGGTTGGGGGGAGGGCCATGGAAAATTTTTACTATGAATCCGTTGTACCATCGTAGATTCCAAGCTTTAAAAATATGCAATGCCTGTCGGAAATCCGTTGTGTTGCGGGTGCACTTACATACAATACCTTATGTCATCACCCCTACAATTCTAATGGTAACGACCAGCCCCATATCCCATTCGAAACTGTCACGAGAGGACAGCTCCCGCGGTGGAAACCAAACTTTTGATACTAAGGATTTGCTGAAAAACAATTGCCTCTACCAGGCACCGCGGATCGCTGAAAAAAGATCTATCTATCTATCTATATCTATCCATCTATCTATATCTATCTATCTTTATGTCCTACCTGGGCCGCGATTACGTTCGATACGGGTGTTCCGGCCCGTGTGATAACTAGCGGTACGGCCCGGGCCTTCCAAATGTTCCAGAGAATAGTTCGAACGCGTTTCTCCCTAACCGTGTGCACCGCTTTCGAAAATTCCAATACAAAATTCTGACGTTGCATTTTTCTGGGTTTAGGGACACCAAATTTTCGCTCATTTCGCACTGAAAGGCGTGTTTTCTTGGGTGGGTATGACATAAATACAATACAACACGGTGTATTTTATCGGTCCCAGCATTCCCGCGGATCGGATCTCCCTTCGGGCGATCCGACGCGCGGTCGGGCCTGGTATATACATGTAACGTATATATAGAGAGAGAGGGAGAGAGAGAGAACGTAACGTGGTGCATAATGTTGACACGGAAATTATGCATATCACGTTGAATTAAGTAAACCACTCTTACTACCCTGTATACTGAATTCTAAAATATTCCCAATGTGTTATGCAAAATTCAACCACCTACATGTAGTGGTTGAATTTATGCTTGTGAATGTGAACTGGTGATTTTAGAAGCTTGAACGTGACAAAAGCGTCATAATTGAAATATTGAAATTTAATTGCATTAGATGATATGAAATGTGCTTCATTGTACTCACTTGTTCTTTTAATGTTCAAGAATAGCCTATCTGCTCACATTTGGCGAAGCGTGACTGTGAACTTTGAACTTATAATTACGTATTCAACTCATCAAAGCCATGTCCTCAGGTAACCTGGCTGGTGACACCAGGGCACGTGATGATTGTGTGACTGTAATTAGTCTCAAACAACATTTGCTTCACAGCACAACAGTCAAGCTTTGGCAATACAGGTGGGTTCACTTAATTCCAATTGTAGAATGGCTGCAAACACACACACGATAGGAAAGTATGTTTATTGTGCACATTATACCGTGGTTGAAATGATCAACAAAGAAAGTAAAACTCCCCAATCCATTCAGGGTCAATAGTTCTCAAATATTGAAGTTGACGGTTACCTAACTTGTCAACATGCGAGGTCAAGCGTGTTGTGTGTCTGACAAGGCAGTTTGTCAGAACTAAAAACAGGGGGAGGTCCCCTCATGATCAGTGTCGACATGTCCACCACCACTCATGCTGATTTCAATTTAACACGACACCATGCCATTCTGTGAAACCCCTAAAGGTTGTGTGAAATTTCCTCATTCCACCCTGTAAATTCTTTTGAACTATGATGTCATTCTGCAACCGCGTTATATGTTGAACCCATGAATGTCACGAGACCGTTAACGTTGCTACTTCGCAAAAATTGTTGTTGTTACATCATACCCGTAGGACGACTTACTATTGCGCAACTGATTCAATACATTGCTATAGCGATACGCGCAGCCGGCCGGTAGATGCGGAAGTAGCCTATTCAGTGTTTCGTACTTCAACAGTAAAGACTTGGTAGGTACGGACGTTAACCTAGGGCCTGGTCACATTTGTCTCCGGACAGTACTAGTCTTGCAGAATTTAGCTGTCTTTAATATAGATTCTTGTCGGTGGGTTCTGTCACAGCCAGCTTGAAAATAATACAACATCAAAATCGAAGGACGCGCCAACGTTGCAGCTGGACAGGAAAACGTCTAGACCTACTACTACTCCCATCGCTTGCATGGTCGTCTTTTTTTCTACAAGGTCGCCGCACAATGGAGAGAACCACCCAGACCCCCCGACAGCAGCGCAGGTTGACGCTATGTTTCGGCTGGGAAGTTTCTGTCACAGTAGCCAACGTCATCTTTGCCTTCCTTAATGTAGCTGGGCAGGTATGGTCAGCTTTTCCTTCTCGGTCTAGTCTACTATAAAGGGCCATTTGTTTACACTGTGTAAATCAAAGAAATAGATGAACCACGTGCGTGTGCACATCATGAAGCGTGTGCGAACAATGTCATTTTCTGACAGCGATGTCATTGAAAAGAATAACGTTATAGTTGCCAGGTGAATGAAACACACAGTAGAGGTACAACAGACTGGTTAACGTTTAATCGAAAGTGTGGTATCTTTCGTATGGTATCTTAGCTACCCATCTGAAAACGTATCGCACCCCCCCTCCCCAGGTGACACAGAACATCTCCCTGCCCCTGTGGATAGACGCCGCCACCCCAGGCGGGCCCAACACCACGGCAAACGGCACGGCGCAAAACGACACGTCGGCACCTCACATCGTCCCCTACTTTGTCTTCTCCTTCGCCAGCTTCTCCTTTGTCGTTATCTTCGGCACGTGTCTAGCAGGAGCTTTCCTCCTGGGTAAGTGGCTTTCCCATTTCCCAGGGAACATTAAGTTTGAAGGGCCAGAAGACAACAAGAAAGACAACAAGAAGCCATAGGCGACAATTCTCCGTGAAGTTTTATATATTTCAACAAAATCCCAAGCGTCAACGCCAGACCTACTGTGCAGACATTATAATTAGGCAACGGTTAATACCACGCTCGTCCCCAGCGCCCGTGGAGAAGCCATAGGTTATAGATCGTGGCTTAGCCCAGGCTATGGAAAATAAACTTTCTTTAATGCAAATCTGTCGTTTTTGTTTTCTTTGCGCTATCTAAAGGGTTAGGATAACCTACTCTACTCTGGCGGTATTGTCGTGCGCGCTCGCTAGTACGTAACGTTACACGGCGGCCATCTGAATACATGTACACTGCATTCTTTCTACTATCGGGACCTAAAACAAGACGCAAGATTCCTATTTTGGGGTATAAAATGCTGTCACAATGGTAATATATACCAAATGAAACGGACCTTTACAAAGTACCTCATTTGGTGACGCTATGAGGGTGCACCGTTATCCCTCTACATTTGCCCAGAAGGGAGTTAGTTGCGGAAGGAACTTAGCCACGGAGGGAGTTTTGGCATTCTCCGCCCGCGCCACAAACTCTCGTCCCCAGGACAGTTCACTCTGCTACCCAGCATGCTTTGCGCAAAATGCGTTCTCGGCCCCAGGACACAAATACACGCTAATGCTTCCGCACTGTGTTGCTCTGGGGACCGCCGCGCGCCCAGATGTGGATTTAATTATAGCGCGCTAGCGGACGCTGCGGAGGAGCGTGGGTTAATACAATGAGGGCGCGTCACAAGCATAAAACATACAAAGAGCTAAATCCATTACTGCTCCCAGGGCGTGTAAAGATACTGTGCTTCAAGTTCTAACTTCATTTTAATTACACACACACAATCATTGCATTCACATAAAGATCGGACTATCATGGTCGTGTCTAGTAACAAAGACAGCCCCACCGTCTTACGGTGCCTGTACCTAATTAAGCGCGCCTGGAACAAGCCAAATTCCAGCAACAGTGGCGGTAAGCACCGCGAGTGTTACTACCGCCGGCCAGATAACCAGGATATCTGCTTACAGTACCTCTGCTACCAGACAACTGCCTAAACCTACGGTCTATTCCACAGGATTGTAAAAGTAGGGATGTTTCGAAAATAACCATTTACTCCAATATCAAAACAGCTACGGTAAAAATAAAAAGACGTGCATCATCCCGGACATAATGCAACACCACATGCGAAATTACACAGATATGCGACGTACGGCAGAATGCGTTTTGGCTGCGAACATCTTCCAAAAAACTTGGCATCTCTTAACCATGGGCAAAAACATCTGGAACCACTTATAAAAACCACCCCGTATCTGCATGAACTTTTACCTCCCCCCCGCTATTCCAAACAACGCGTTTTTCTGGACCGTTCCAATTCGCCTCGTAATTGTAGGGGTGCGTCTGCGATATTACATTGACCGCGAAAGCAGCAACGGCAAAAATACACATTCGTGCATCAACACGGGCATGCCCGCAGACGGCGTATAAAATTGCGTGCCGATTACACGAAGAGAACCCAGTGTTTTGACTGCGAACATGAAAAATCAGCCGATTACAACACTCCGTCCGGAGGTCCTGACCTCCTTCACGGAGTAACAAGGAAGGCCCTAATTCGTTCCCTCCACACGTGCACGCAGTTTCACTTTTCGGGGGTTAGTATTGTAATCACGTACTAGTAGGCACAGGAAATGGTCTGTGAATGCTCTTCTGTCCCAGGCGCGTTATCATGTTATTGGAATTGTTCCATGCAATGCCCTGTGCCGGCATATATATGTACACAATACTGCAAATTGTTTACATGACTGTATTTTAACGAGCTTACCGACCGTGAGAGCAATAACTAGCTAGACCCAGTGTGGTATGAATATTTAATGTAATTTGGATTCAGAGTTTGATAGCATCGTCCCCGTGTTAAACTTCCCCGTAGTAGACAAAATAACAAGAGGCAGGTGCGGAAAGGAAATAGTATGTAAATTAAGAATCAACATGAGGTATGATGAGTTTTCCCACCATAGGACACATCACAGAGACGGACCTGAAGTTCCCCCACACCCTGCTGTTCCTAGTGGGGCTGTTCGACGCCTTGAACGGAGTGTTGGTAGTGAACGCGTCCAGCGGCACCAGGACGGCTCCGTACCTACAGGCCATCCTCGGCAACTTCACCATCCCCATCACAATATTGCTCAGGTAAGGATAGTGCACCATGCTACTCTTCAAGCAGAGGTTTGGGTTTTGGCTTATTTTGGGCGTGTTTTTAGACTTGTTTTATCGAAAAAAGATTCCAGTGCAAAAAAGAAGCCCCGATAAAAAAAAGCCTAAAAACACATTCACATTGACAACAAGAAGTCGGCGATTTTAGGCTTACGGGAAGTATGCAAACCTGGGCTTAATTCCTGAAACATGTCCCCCATGTCGACTTGCTGCATGCTCCCAGCCAGATTCTGAGACCTTTGACCTCCTGCCATTCTGCCCGTCAATCTTCCCTCGCCCACGTACTGTCAACCTACTCTGTTCGGATGAACAGATACGCAAACCCACAGTCTATCCACCTAAAAACAATAGTTCCGTACCCAGAAGTAAAAGTGGTAACAAGCACAGAAGTATGTGTTCAACTTTCTACGTTCTCCTCGCTTTCATAGACTCCTGATTCTGCGGAAGAAGCCCACAGCGCGGAAGTTCACCTGCTCCATGCTGGTCCTGGTGTCCCTCTTCATCTGCCTCCTACCGAAGATGATCCCGGCCCTGGGCGCCGACACGGCACCGGGAGCCAAAGGGGCCGCCGGCGCGCTGTGGCCGCTCTGCTTCATGATCGGCTTCGTAAGTACAGGCGGCGTCTTTTCAATCTGTCTGCGATTAGAGACTTTCCCTACATGTAGCTTGGTCCAACACTGAACAGAGACGGGGGGCGACACAGGTTATCTGACACGTTTTACCCTCTGCTGCAATCACGTGTTTCCGACATCACGTCCCGGAAGCTGCCGGTCCATTCCGTGAACAAGGCTGACGGAGGTACTTTGGGTAAATCCCAATTTACTTAGTGTTAGACAGAGCGTTTAGCCTTTTGTCATAGCTTGGTTATGTTCATCTATTCTGCCATGTTGACTTTTCACTGCAGTAAATCATGACAATGCCCTGTGATCAATGGTCGTTATTAAATTGCCATCACCTCAGGTGCCGGCGGCTGTGATGAACGTGATTGAGGAGAAGGTGATGAAGATGACGCCGGGAGCACGCCGGGAGCAGATCAGCCTCATCTGGTTCCTCTTCTGGGAGTCCGTGTACCAGTTCTTGTGCGCAGCCGCGCTCTTCTGGACCGACATCATCCCCGGATTCGGTAACAGCGCAGACATCCACGACTTCGGGGAAAAGTGAGGAAATTTCCTCTTCGTACCATCAGGAACATAAGACCGCAATTTCAGCTGCATTCCAGTTGACCCTGCCTTGCGCTATCCCCCTCACTACACTCAATCTCTGTGTCTTTTCAGTCACTGATTACAGTTATAATTAACGTTCTTGTCCACTTGTGTTGCCTTTGACCTGTCTCTTTTTCTTCTTCAGAATTTCTGTACTAATGTACATAAGGAAATTCTTACTAGAGAGATCACCAGTATAATGATAATGACTTGTCAAGTTGATCATTGTATTCCGCGAAGTTTTCATGTGATCATGTTATAAATTTCTCCCACACACATACAGCGTTGCTTTTGGGTTTCTCTGCTTCTTCGGAGGGCGGGGCTGCACCAGTCAACCCGGCTCCAGAGGAACCCTCTTCATCCTGGGGTACGCCGTCAGCTACATCGGCGGGGGACTGTTACTGCGGCACGCGGAGGGCGCCACGCTGCTCGCCCTGGTCACGGTAAGGCTTCCCGCACTTGTACGCGTCCTACTTCGTTATGGTACTGAGTCAACTAATCTTCAAGCAGATTTAAGAATATGGCTCATTTTCAGTGTTTTTGCCTGTTTTGTAACATTTAGTACCCTTTTCTAGTTTTGCACCTATTTACGATTAATGCATGGCTGGGTGACTTTTCCATGTCCAATACTACGAGAGTAATAAATGTTATCAAATGTGTTTGTGAATGATCAGAACTGATAATGATGAAAGATAAAGGCACACAGGCTAACAATGTCTGCAATTAAAAGAAAATGTCCGTCGTTCTCCTACTCCACTGCAGTCCCTTGTGACACCGCTAGGGTTCCTCTTCTGGACCCTGTTTGAAGAGGACCCGTTCCACTTCCACTTCAACACCGGCAACGCCACCTGGTTCTCTCTAGGCGGACTGGTCCTTATGGTCCCCGCCATCTTCTTCTACAACACAGGGTAGGTCATGGCAAGGAGGTTAAATACAAGTTAACCTCCTTGGTCATGGTCATATCGTATGGAAAAATACCGTTTTAGAATGAGACAAATTCCTCGTTTTTTTTTAATTAGACAGGAAAAGTTACACTGAAAGTTAATCTGAAAGGTAGAGTGAAGTGACGAAGAAGTTCCCTTACCCTCACGATCATAACGTTTGGGAAATGGGGACATTCAGTACAGCGTATAGATAAAGGATGTCCCTCTAGTGGGCCTGAAAACTCCACCCAGATTCTGAGCATTCACGGATTTATTTTATCTCCACAGACCATCAGAACGCTCCATCGATGTCAGCACACAGAAGACGGACCCAGAGAGGGCACCTCTTATCTCCTCACATGTCCAATATACTACTTAACCTAGAGGGGAGAAAAGAAAGTTGCACTCATAGCCTTCATTCTAAAAAGTCTTCAATGCGCCACGATAGCATATATCAGTATCCATATTGAAAATCCACCTCGGTAGGCAAGAACACATAAAGTTCAAGTGCGGGTATTCCATTCTGTGAGCAAGTCATGATACCTTGATGGGATCTAAATCGGTCAGCACAGGAGTGCCACCTCGCAGGTTGCTGTAAAACTACAGGGGCGATTCCCGATGACGTGATCAGCACCAAGGACATAACCCATGTCTATTCTTCGTGGATATCTATGTTGCCTTATACAAATTATAACACTATTAACAGTAGCTACATTTACATACATTAGTTTGCTCGCGGCTAACAATATTGCATTACTTTAAGGCTGGGAGTGAAAGAAAAATATTTGACCCCAACCCATCATGCACAGCTTCTCGAGTTGTACATATACACTGCCCACTGCAGCTTTCAGGAAAAGACCAGGTAAACCATTTTTAAACTTCACCTTTGTTTTTTAAACAGGTACTCACATACTAAATACCAAAAAATGAAGCCTCTTATTTAAAATCTTCAAATTTTATTACACCAGATGTGACGCATGACCCATGCTAGGCATGCTGTGAAAATAACTTTGTACGTTTCCAACACTCTTACTGTAAAACAATGTCATCTCCATCAGAACTTTCAAAGAAAGTGTAAACAACAAAACAAAATATTGATATGATAGCAAAGAACACTGTGTACTTGAATGAATGTAACATCAAAAATTAATATTGCTGACATATCAATTCTGACCAGTATTTCCTTGAATACTTTCATGTTGGTACTGAATTTAAGATACCATGTTCTAGCTTTTCAAAAAAAACTTCAGGTTTCATGTTACATGTGATTTCAATAATTCTCTGTAATATCATTGAAATCAGGTGGGAAAGTACTGTTTTCTTCATAACATTTTACAAGGTCCTCACTGCACATCACATATCTTCTATCATATATTATAATCATTATAATATGTACAAGTTCCACCATATAGTAGCAGCAATTGTCATTTTTCAAAGATATTAAAGATCATATTGTGAATCTGTAGTTTATCATAAGTGCAAAATGCACACACTATGAAGGAGGTTTAAAAACATCCTCAACTATATACTAAATACCTTACTGTTAATCCCTGAATAGTGCAGTGGTCAAAGAGCTAGTTCACCTAGTTATCTAGAAATGTAGCTACGTTACAAGTGGTTCTATCAGCACTGAATGGAGTAGAATGACTTAAAGACTTGCATAGTTGCATTTAATGACCACTGTGCCCCCATTGCAACATGGGGGTCTGATCAAGGTAGTTCAACTTAACTACAATGTTTGTAAAAGAGACAAGATTTGCATTAGCACAGTTTTATACCTTCCAACTAAAACTCTTTTTAAATCTGAAAGTACCTTCCCACAAAACCCGTGTCTCTGACATCTTCTCCCCGTCGTACTCCAAAACTGGCTTCAAAACAAACGAAATTCAAGACAACCATGTTGAAGATACTTTTAGCTTGATATGTTGGTACAATGCAAAGGTAGCAGTACATGTACATTCATGAGTCCAGATGTAAAACGTTGGCCTTTAGTCGGAGGAGATCTGAGCAGCAGTGTAAGTTGCAGATGTGTCCGTTCTACTCTCAACTTTGTTTCTTCCCCTCAAAGTCTTCCATGAGTTCTCTCATGTAGGTGTGTGAGTCTCTCATGTCATGGATGAACTTGTGCACCATCTCCCTGAACAGGTACTGCCACACCTGCTGTACTGCCTGCTGCTTCTTGTTCCCGATGGTGGCTTCCTTCGTCAGCTCCTTGATGTATGCATGGGAGAACTTGGTCCTGGCTGTCTGTTCCTACATGACAGGATAGACACAGGTTTCATTGTAAAAGTGCACAAATAAAGAAACCAATCCCTTATTTTATTCAGCAGAATAAGATATACAGCACTCCTTACTGAGACAAAACCATATCACAAGTAGCATGAAACACACACATGACCCTGTTTTGGAAGTTACATATATGTTTTACATAGTGACCTTTGCATTAACCAATATCTTTACCAGTTACAGTGAAATGTGGTATAATCACTCAAGGGACCATGTCATAGTACCTTGGTGGCCACTATAGACATGTTTTCTATTGCTTGTGCCACTCCAGGGAAAATAAGGAAGCACAAAATGACCAAGTGGTCCTGATGTATAGTTGGTCACTTGTACAGGTTTGACTGTACATGTAAGGACACCAGAGTCTGACCTTGAGTTTGTCCTTGGCCAGGTCCTCACACATGTACTGCAGTCCCGCTCGCCCCACCGACTCCGACGCTCGCTCGCTCTTCCCGTCCTCACCTTCCGACTTCCGGAACCGTTCGTTCACCATGCCAAGCTTCTTTCTCCTACAAAACAGCACCTCACAATAAAACTATCATACTAACTGTAATATAAATCTAGTCAAAATGTGACATGATATGAGGCTGACTTTGACTGAAGTGAATCCATATGCACAATGTTGCTACATCCATTGAAATGAGTGGAAATAACCTTGGTGCACAGTTTCCACACACGTCTGCAATCATCCCAATACATTATAAAATGCAACATTATAGAAAGACAACAACCCAAAAGCCCAAGTTGGGCACGTCGAGGGCATGTGACAGAAAGGAAGGAGGTGGCTGGTACACACTAGAGGCTGCCATGTCCTTTACCCTCATCAAACTGAGGATGGGGCTGGGTAAGGAAAGGTGAGGGTGAATAAATGTAGACGTGTGACAGACCTTGTTTCTCCCAGGAGAGTGAGAAGTCTGGACTGTGGAAGCTGGGAGGTGGTGATGTGAGACAGGGTTCCAAACATCTTCTCTGCATTCACCATGTCTGCAGCAGTCACCTGGGACAGGGGAAGTGTGTAATATTATAATTTTAATCTTCAAACCATAGTCTAACACCAGGATTACAGAATGGTCAGAATATTGTCTGTCATGTGCGCCTGGATGCCGGCCCACCCAACGGTTGCCACCCTCTTGGGGTGGGGGTCATTAATCCCCGACAGCAAGAGCTTGTGTAAACACAGGCTACAAAACTGCCAAATGACAGTGTCAGACAGGCTACATCACTGCTACATGTACACACTATCCTTGACATCAGCTGTCCCTGTTTCACACACTGTGCAAAACACTAGACATTCTGGATTCAAAAGACAACAGCACAATACACAGTTGACACAGAAGTAACACTCCTGAGGAGACCGTGTGCTTACCTCCGTGTCGTTGATTTTCCTGAGAGAGAAGTGTGCCAGACGGAACAGCACGTACGGCTTCCAGAGGGTGAACTGAGTCACGGGGTTCCCCTCCGGCACGACAGACAGGTTGTCAAGGCGACGCAGCGATGCCAGGGTGTTGAACTGCTGCAGGTTCCTGATGTTTGTCTCATTGAATATCAATGTCTGGAGAGGGAGATGGCAGAACAGTTTGCAAGGTTCAACTGAAAAAAAACAACTGAGCAAGAAGTCAGTCATTGTATATCTCAAGAAACTCATTGAATCTGAAACTGGTTTACAAGGACCTGAACGTCCATCTGCAATGACTGACAAGTAGTACTGTAAACAGAACTTCACTTGTTACACCTCATGATGAGGATGACTGAAGAAGAAGAAGCTTAATATATATAGTGAATTACTATTGATAGGTCAATCTTATCTATAGTATTGTATATATCAGACCAGATGAGAAGCTCCCACCTGCACATTAGGAAACCTGTTGCGGATCTTGTGTAGCTGCCTAGAGATGTAGTCAAAGTCGATGAAGTGGAAGGAGACAGAGGTGACGGAGCCGGCGGCCTGGATGCCCCAGTTCCTGTCCAGGGAGTCGAGCGCCCCTGCCCCGTACAGGTGCAGCACCTCCCCCTCCAGCTCAGCCAAGTGGGACTGGCCGATGTCGTTAGAAATACTGTCTGGACTTCTGTGGGGACAGCAGTTAACAACAGTACATCAGTAAATGTTCAAATTCGAATCTCGCAGTACTTTTTTAAGGGATTGATTGCAGCCTAACTTCAATAACTACAATGATGCAACAGTATATAGTAGAGTGGACTCATTCCTCCCCCTAATTGACATCTCGCAAATGCAGTCGTTCCTCAGTAAGAGCCGCATAGGTCCTGTTTAGAACTTTACTTCAGCCTGTCACATAATAATGCAACAGGTTACCACTAATCAGTAGTCTTTTGTAAGCTTCTGACTATGTTTGTTTCCCTCACCTTGGTCTGTCAGTAGACCTGACAGATGTCTGTGACTCACTCCTGAAGGAGGACTGGGATGTTGCCCTTTCACCTCTGCCCTCTGCCCCTTCTCCTGGAACCCAAGCATCCCCAGATAAGCTATCCTGACTGCTTCTGTAACAAAGAACGGAAAGTCAGTTCTTCTGTTTTTTGCAGGAAATGATCACAGTCCTCATTAAAAACGATGGAGAAAAAAAATGATTTCAAAACAGTAACAAGCATTTAACGTTACCAGTTCTAGAAAGGGCTACATTGTTCCAATTTTGGAGTATATATATTATATATATATTATGTGTTGATTTTATCTGCCATGATGGAAAGATCTCAAAAACAGTTTGACATCCAAGTAAGCCCCTCACTTTGAGGACGTGTCCTGCCAGTTTGGAGGTAGGTTCCTGTTCTCCTCGTCCTCAGGTTGGCTGCCTCTCTTCCTGGCCACATCCTTCTGTGACGGTTGGAAGCGGCCAATCTTGGACAGGGTGGCAGACTGATGTGCCTCCCAGTTCCTGGCTGCATTGTTGATGGCAAGTCTTCTTTTCTCCTGGAACACAACATCACCGATCTGTCAGTACCGAGCTGACACTTCTCAGCAGAATGTTGTGAAAAATACGGACCTTTTCACGATTCTGCCACCTCTTTGATGCTGAGTTCATGTTATGCTGAACTTTCCAGTTTTAGGAGGGGACTTGAATGAATGAATGTGAGGGGTTGGTATAAAACCTGGATGTATTGTTAGTAGGGAGCAACAGTCTCTCCAGCCTGGGTCTGATCTACGCTTAGTTCACTCCACTTGGGGAAGATAAATAATCTACAGTCTGAGAATAGTCTAATGTTCAAACCTGCACTGTTCTACTGACCACACCAAAAGCGAGTTTTCCTGGGTTAATTTTCCTACTCTGCTACATGTAGTTGGGATGTAGTTGGGTAGGGCAGAAGAAACCCTGGGAGCTGTGTGTCTTGGGCAGAACCATGGAAAGGTGAAGACAACCAACGCCATGGGAACATCCACAGCCTTATGTCCGTTGTGGCTCACTGATGCCTGTTTTTTTTCTCCAAAAAAGCAGTTTTTTCCTTGATGTGTGGGCAAGTTATTTGATTGGATACCATTACAAAAATGAATTCCTGCTTGAATTAACATGAAGGATCAAAACACATAATTCTGTTTTGAGCAGGGATCAGGTGAAATAGAGTCATTTATAACAAAAAACAATTTGACACCTTGCAAAAATATTTGTGCCTAATTTGGGCTTCAATTTCCAACAGCAGATGGAACTGTTTGCTGAGCACTGTTTTCACTGCAATGATGTATCAAAAACATGCTGATTTTTGGAACCTGGCCACAGATCTGTTTGAGTGACTCATTTCCAAGATTAAAGGTAAATGTAAGTGTTTTGTACTGGTAACAGCAGACAGACAGACATCAGTGAACCACAAGTATGTGTGAGTAAGTCTGTGGCATCATGGCTGGCACACACGGTCTTACAGGAGGCTGGTTGTCTGGGTGGAACCGTGAAGATTTTGACAAGGCAGGCAATTGTGTCATCTGCCATTGTCTAGCAGCATTGCGGATAGCCAACTTTCTATTCTCCTGAAAGGAGGAAAGATCATGATCATTATACAGTACAGAACAGTGGACAGGACAGCTTACCATAAGAACAGGCTATCTTTCCTCCCACTATATGGTGGCTAACATCAACAAACAGATCAGATGATCACTACTGAAGATACAAGGAAGTGTTGTTGATTAAATGTAGATATTTGACAGACAGACAAGATATACTCTATCTGCATTACAATGATCAGAACCTTCATTTGAGACTGTGAATGTCCATAACAGTGTAAGGGAATCATGAATACAGGAATATATTGTACCTATGCATGTGTAAGAAAAACTGGTGCAAGAAGGCCAAGAGAAAAGACAGCAGTAACTGTATCTTTTTCAAGCTTCCCATGCTGTGTCATACTTACCTTTTATGTCCAGTTACAGGACTGGTACATTTATTTGGGATCAATCTACATATTTTCTTTTCATCCCACAAAAATGGCCCAAATTTCCAGTGTGTGACACTGACCTTTATGACGGCCATCTTGTTGGTTTCTCTCTTCTTCTCCTCCTCTTTTCGTGCCATCACTGCTGCTATTCTCCTCTCCTCTTCCTAAATTGGCAAACACAAAAATACACAATTAAACTGTTATTCTTACTTACTAGCAGTTATAATACACCTAGAGTTCCTGCACCCTGCATGAGGAGCTACTAGTGATTATGTCCCCAACTATTCTACACCCTTCCTAACTACTGTGGATGAAAAACCAGCCATGCCCAACTATGCACCAAACCTGGAAGGTCTTATCCCAACGTGTGAACTTACGTAGTTGCCAATCACCCAGGATCTGTAGTGCAGACGGTACACACAGTAACGTTCCCAGTTCAAGTTGGACATCCTGATTCTACACACAAAATCACTACCACCGGGCCAAATTGCAGCTACACTGTATTTGATTTGATCCACAGTAATGCTATGGCTGACTGGGTGTCTGGATCATGTAGTCAGTGGCTTGGAATGGAGGGTTGGAAACTGATCTTTGGCTGCTTAGAAAGGACACAGTCCAGTGAACTGAGCTTCTGAACTTAAAGGTACAACCGGGAGACTGCACATAACAAAAAAAGTAAGTTATAACCAAAATTGGATGAAATACTTAGAGAAAACGAACTTTGTATTCTGGAACTAACCTGCAAACCATCTCAGCCCAATAACAGTCAACTGAAGTTTGAATAAGCTGTTTGTATTGTTTGATAAATTGTTTTCCTTAGAACAAAAGCCCCCCTGCAATAATACCATGTTGGTACAGTCGGGTTCAAAAGTTGTTAAAAACGGGCAAGAAGGCCTCTTGAAGTCTTAGCCCTTAATGGCCCTTGTTGGGTGATTTAAGGACATGCAGTGTTTTTTGGTTGCTAGAGGCATCAGACGTAGTGCACTTCAAATAGTAAAAAATCCCACCGTGAATGCACTCTACAGACGCTTGTGTGAGAATCCCAGACTACGTACCCACGACCAAAGTAACATGTTTATACTGCAAATGAAGGACTAATGTTTGCTTCCAGATTCTACTGTGTCCACCATTGCTTGCTAAATTGGGTTTAACATTTCATGCACACTGCAGACAGAACATCTACATGTACACCTGAACAGATGCTCTACATAGTAGAGAGTGCTTAACCTTCTCCCTGCTCCTAACCCCATAACCAATACAAACTTGGTGTCAAATGGCTACCTTGGCAGACTGAAGGTTAAGTACCCAGGTGCAGATGACTAACCATATGTAACCGGTTCCAGGGTTTTTGGTAAGGTCGCTTGAAATGTCCACTAAGGATTAGAGGGCATGCATGGGGCTAAAGGCAATTGCAAAGAGACTTGAACAACAGTGTTCAGCTTGAATGTATTGATCAGTATTCTACAAGTGCAGCTCAGCTTCACTGTGAAATTATCAATACTATCATGTTGGATATTATTACCAAAAAAATCTGCTAAATGTTAAATTTTGTAACATGTTGAATGAAAGAATTTCAAAGCATAAAACAAGTTGATGGTAATGAGAATTATCATCACCCAAAACAACTTGTTTGCTGGCATAATTTACTGTAATCAAATTGGCAGTGTTTTTTCTAGTAATATCTTTGCTCAGCTGATGTATAATATTTCATATTTTTTTGTTGTACAATATTTCTTTCAATCTTGCAAGAAGTTGTGTAGAAACCTAACAGTAACCCTTTACACTAGTGGCTGCTACCACTGAGCGAAGAGTGACCAAAAATTGGACAGATTGCTCAACCAATTTCATAATTAACTTTTCTCACATTTTGAGTGTTTTGCTGTCTTTTAAATCACAAAGCCAATTTTCATTGGTCACAAATCGCTCAATGATTGCTGTCCAGTGGACAGGATATTTTAACCAGCACAACACTGTCATGTTACACCTCCAAACAGTTTACCAGTTACGTAATGTTAAAAGAAATGTTGAGCACTGACCGATATCCTCCTCATGTCCAGCTGCCTGAGCTGCACCATGTGTTTGAGGATGGTCTGTTTGTAGAAGGCCTCCTGAGCCAGCGGGTTCCCGTCCAACGATACCTCCGACAGGGACGCAGACTCACCCAGACACGCTATGTCATCAAAACTACAGCAACAAAAAGTTTGAGAGGAAAAGTGAAAAAAACAGTACATTTATCAGAAGTGTAAGACAGGTCTGAAGGTACTAGCCTGGGTACCATCCAGATTTTTGCTCCGCAACGCTAAAAAAAATCGCAGAGGGAAAATCCGGATGGTACCCAAGCTATGGAGGTACATGTATACTTCAAACCTGCTGTCTTGCCCCATTATAAGTACATACTACAGCAAGAAGGGACTGTCATTGACCTGTGACCTCCACAACATTACTAATATCTGAGCCCAATAACTGCCAACAATTGTAGCAGACAGCTCAGATACAGTAGACTGCACAACATATATAAGATATCAAATTGAGATCTCATTGAAGTCAACCTTAAGGTCCTTAAGTCAACTTTAAGGACCTGTTTCCCAATATTGTAATGAATAGTACCATGAAAATATTTTTTGAGAAAAAATACAACACAATACCCAATGCATCTAACCATTGACATGCCTGACCTGGGAAGAGATGAGTACAGAGATGCGACCTCCAGGACCTTTCTCCACCCAGTGCCCCACATATTCAACAACACAGAAGTCTGACAGAGAAAAATCAATGAGAGCCATCGGGATGGAATTATCCCCGCCTGCCTGCTCCACAGAATACAAATTGAAAGCATGGAGGCACGGGTCACCCGTAATTTGTCTCGATCACCAGTACCGCGCCAAGCCTTACATTTCTCTCTGATATCATTACCGCCACTGGGCCTTCTCCAAAAACATTTAAATACTTGTTTCTACAATCTAAATAATAATTTCAAAGAACAATCAAAATACAAAGGACTATGCCAGTAGACAGTGGTAGTCTGAAACTGTTAAGCTCAGAAACATGTATATACAATGGAATAAATGATGAAACATCCCATTTTGCCTCTTGGTTTCATTCTTACCTTCTTCCTGCTTCCTAACCTCATGCTATTGACCCATCAAAATTTAGTACAAAACAGCTACCTTAGCATGCTGAAGGTTAATATATGGTTCAACCGAGTCGTGTCTGAGTCTAAGGATGAAACAGAACACAAGTGATACCAGCCGGAAGAACCCTGGTGTTACCCCAACTTCCCAGGGAAACAAATGATATGCATTAGGAAATATTGATGCTGTTTGACTGATTGAGCGAGAAGCACTTTTACAGAGCATTACAGAGGGTTTAACACAACAGATGACAGATTCACGGTGGTAATTGTGGCTTCCTAAATGAATAGGATTTATGGAATGGATTACCCTAAGATTAGTATTTAATGTATTTTGCTGAAATTATGCTTTGAAAATGATCTTAACCAGTCATACTGTAGTTGTATATCTATCAATTGAATATTCATCAATCAATGCTTATCAGATTTTTGCACTACAGTATCTTTCTTTTCAGAGAGATATCCAAGCACCATGTGATTGAATTTAGGGTGTCCTCATACTTCTACATTAACTGATTTTTTTAATCATTTTCAATATCTCTCTGACATTTTCCAAGAAGATATAGACAGTCAAGTACGAAATACTCTATCATGAAGATAATATCTATTAGCATTTTGACCATTAACTCAAACTCACTCACTGTAGTCACAATCTTATCTAAATATAAGGTTATGAACTCCATCTATTTTCCCAGCTGAGGTTGGCTGGTGTTCAAGCCATTACCAGTATCTGACCAGCAAAGCTCCCAAGCTGCCACATCAATTTGTATGAAAAGGAACGGGGCCAAAAAAATCAATAACAAGAGATGAAACCAGTTCGGGGACTCGTAATAAAGAAATGGAGGGGCTATCTCTTCACAACAGAATGAATAGGAACCATCGAACCCGTCAGACCAAAAAATGACCATTATGTTAGGAATGTGGTGGTTGGTACTCTTTCTGATCTAAGTTTGGAAGGACAGCTTCAAATGCCTTTTGTTACATGTAATACAACATTGGTCATTATCTTCTTTGCAAGAGGTTGCCAGGCTAATACACTGTGAAGACTTGAAGTTGAAGATTCAGTCCTACGAGAAAGGTGGTATTTTTATACCGTAAAAGTGCAAGAATGCTATTAATACAGTAACTACATATTCAGGAATTATATCTGAACACAAAGTAAAAGCAAGTACAATTGTATCAAAAAACTATAATTTCACAATTTACCAGCACATTTCCATGTTACATACCATTTGTCTAGATTACATTTCCATGTTACATACTGTTTGTCTAGATTGCAGCACATGTGGTGACTTACCTGGATATATTGTTGAAGCTGAGGAAGAGTCTCTGTAAGCTGGGCAGGGTGTCCACCTCTGTCTGTGGGAACACAGGGACACAGGGATGAAGGTTTCACACACAGCATTACATGTTACCGTACCATACAGTCAGTCATGCATACTGCCACATGTGATGTAAGAGATCCCAGCACAATCCTCCCCCAAATCACCCCAGTTATTGATCATTAATGAAATCACGCTTGACAGGATGTGTCGGAAAAATCTGTCCCGGGTGCTGAATGGGCATCCCTTGGGAGAGCCCACCCAGACTTTAGCAATTATGTACGTGTCAAAAACATGCCTTACTAGTGTGACTCACACGTACATAATAAATCAAATATAACTTAACAACAAGAAAGCAAGCATTCAAGGTGTGCGATAAACTTTGTACCTTTCTAAGTAAGTAGCTCACTGCATGTCTTGGTATCTGCCAAATTATGTTTCTGTACAACAATAATTTCATGTGGAAGACCAACAACCTTTTACAAGGTCACAGATGAGCAATTTTGGTGAGACGTCCCCAGAATTACAAGACTGCGGCACTATGATTGCTATAGATAAAATATTCATAACTACATTCCAGGATGATTCCTTTCACCCAAGTAAGTAGGTTATGAAATAATTCATGTGCCCAGGCAGATTGGGTCAGACATGGTTGTGGTGTGCCAGCTGAGCAGAATAGAACAGATCAACTGAGGCGTGGCAGTGATACTGGCACACAATAACTTAGTAATGGGATACATGTCTACATTTTGTGTTAAGGTTTCAGCCACACAAACTATTCCTTTTAAAAAATCACCTTGGTTAAACATAAGTTCAACAGAGGTAGAATATAATTTCTACTGTGCCAGAGAAAGGTTTACCTTATGCATGACATGTACATGTTTGTTCCACATTGGTAGGTAAACAGGGTACTGGCCAGAGTTTTCTATTCATGTGCAGTTACATACCATGATATCTATTTCAAGTCTTAGTCATGACATTCCAGTCCAGTCAAACATTGCACAACAATGGACAATAACATTTACAAAACTGAAACCACATTACCCTTCACACAGCCCACTTCATGCTCCATCATACGTAACCAAAACAGCCATGCAGTCCTAAAACGTATGTGGTAACATATGGAAACAGCATGGTGAAACTGCTCTAAGCTCCTGGTCTTATTTGCACAGTAACTCAAGCCACTGCTTACTTTAAAGAAAAGGTTTGGCTTCCACTGTGATGACACAATGCCTTCCTTCAAAGTCAAGACATGAACAAAGCTATTGTTCTGTTTCAAGAAAGCTGATCTTTATGGAAAGTCATACATGAACCTGAACAGGGTCATATCTCAGTTCACACTGGATAGGTCTGGATCAACAGTAAGGCCCTTTCTTCTGCAACAATGCCCTCATGAATGCCAAGATCTCATGTGCATGGAAAATTGTGGTTGCTTCGAAACTGACATGATATACAGGCATATAATTTATCTTGGTCACGTTAGGCTGTGGCAATGTTTCTCCGCACCAAGGGCAACTGCACTTACTACATTTATTTTAGGGTGGGTTCATGCTTGCATTTTAGAATGTGTGCTTCACATTAAGGTTATGCATTTTAGGTATTCTTTTTTCAGTCGATTCTAACAGTAACAGTCATTTTGCAGTACTGCTGTGCAAGCACGTCTAACCCTTGAAAGTCGGGGAACAACAGAAGATAAACCGGATAGTGAGTGTGTGTGAATATATGTCAGATTTAGTCATTCTGTTTAAAGTTTCCAGCCAGATGGATGTCCTTACCACATTAACAATCTGGTTCCTGCGGAGGTTGAGTTCAGCGAGTGAGTCCATGCCACTGAGGTTCTCCACATGGATGATACTGTTACCTGCCAGGTTCAGCACTCGCAGCTCACTCAGGTGCTGAAGGTTCTCTATCTTATTTATCTGGCAGGGAGAAAACAACATGATAACTTTTAACAACAAACTTCATACAGACTGTAGGTTATTAAACGCAAAGTAACCATAAATCAATTGTAAGACATTTGATTCCTTTGTTTCTGAGTGTTAAATACACAGACACGACATAGCAAGATAAATCATGGACAATATACCTGTCATTTTCCCCAATATCTCTGTTTTATTATCCTACTCAGATCTCACATTGTATATCATTCACACTGGAAAGCCTGTCTACTAAACGACTAGTATAATTGATCCATGAAATGTAGGCACTGTTTCTTTGTCACCACAATGATCTACGGCTGCTCTGGTATTTGCAATAGGGACTCTAAGGGGCACCCAAACACACAGAGGGAGAGCTATAATTATAATTATGATACATGTACATGTAGGTTGCCTTGAGAGGTGTAAGAATGATTTCATCTTAATTTTCAAGCTTTGATAACTGCACAAAACTTTAATGAATCATATACAGGTTACGTCTTAAAATGTACATTTTGTTAATGTATCAACAATTCCAGAGGCAATTGGTAAGGAGCATGAAACAACTGCATTTTGCCTTGGCCAAAGTTTATCGTAATACTCACCAGGTTTCCATGGAGATCTAAGACATCCAGTTTTTGGAGATTGTCCAGGTTAGCAATTTTCTTGATTCTGAAAGAGGAAAAGAAGTTCAGACTCAATAAAAACAATTGTACATGTACATACTGTGTTTGTGTTTCATCATTGAGTATAAAAACTGTAAAGGAGACAAACCTTTTTTTTAAACCTACAAAAATCAATTGCTTCAGAAAAAGCCAGAGCCTTTTATCATCAATCGAACAAAAGACTTGTCATCTGTGCTGATAGTTATCCAAGATACCACAAAATGTGACCTAGCAACAAACCCTAACCTGTCTCCATGGCAACTGTTACTAAGCAGGAGCCTCCCAACTGTCATTCAAGTGACTTTCTAACAGGGTCAAAATCATACAAACCCACAGTTAGCCTGTGTCCATCTCACCTGTTTTTCCCCAGCATCAGCACCCTGAGGGACTTGAGAGCAGCTAGACCGGTGATCTCCTCTATCTGATTATCATACAGGTCCAGGAAGATGAGCCGCCTGAGGTTAGAGAGGTGCTGGATCTTGGAGATGAGGTTGTGCTGAAGGTTGAGTAGTCTCAGGTGTTCCTCTCCCTCCAAGATAGGACAGACTGTCAGCCGTCTCCTGTAACAATTATAAAGGTATATTCTACATTTAGGAAACAGTAGGGATTTATATTGGACATTTGCTTTATCTCCTGCACCCAAATTTTCCTATGTACCTGAATTGTTAAGTTTAGTTGCACAACAAATGAATTTCAACCGAAGAGCAACTGGGCCACACAATGAAAATGCAGAATTTAACCCCAATCTAGATATCTCAATACAACTCTGAGTCTCTGTCAGAACTACATTGGTAGAGAACACAGCTAGCATTTCATAGATGGAATTATTAGTTAGTGCGTGTTTGCCAAAGAAAAACTCAAGCCCTGCTGTACAAACACCTGTCCATGCTGTGTAAATACTGACCTGTCCAGGTTGAGTCTGTCCGGGTTGCTGGCTCTCTCCTCCTGTGTCCTGTACACAATAGGGATACCTGGGGCAGACGGGCTCTCTGCAAAGATGACCCTGTCACCTGAGGAAAATGAGAACCAATGTTAGCAATCGCAATACCCCCTTTCATTTTTCAGAAGAGTCAGGTTATTGTAAACTATCTATTCGGAACTTTACCATGACTAATTATCATGGCATCATTTTTTTTCATAGAGACATACTGGATAGTTTCGATATTATGCTTTATACACGTCAAGCAAATGCTGACTCTCTTTTGGAATATGTACACATTTAAAATGGCCCAGCAGTTGCAGTTGTTTAAGGGTACACAGAGACAAACTGGTGCACATGGCATGCAGTTGACAGGTCAGCACACATTGATACGTGGCTTAAAAAGTATGATACTCCATTGTCCAAAACACAATTTTATATCTTTAAACAATCTTCAACACTTAGAGATGAGACAGACAACAAACGGGACAACCCTTACTGCAGGGACCCTGTTTCTTCCACCACCCCCAAGACGACATGTGCACACCAGTCCTCCCTCTCCTTGCTACTATATGTACTCCTAACGTTGGACTTTATACAACAAACAAAGCAATGGCACAGCTACGGTCACTTTTCCATGGTGCCCCGTTTTCTCTACTTGACAACTCAAACAGCAAGCTATGTACTATATATCAGATTCGGACACAATAGAGAATGAACACAATCAATAGCTCCACCCAGCCAGAGGTAACCACAGAGATGAAGCCTGTATATTAAGGTGTATTGTTGTTTTAATTACTGTTTTGTAAACCTAGGACTGAGAATGCCTGGTTGCCATCCGTGCGGAATGAGGTCAAACCTAAGGTCATTCTGATTAAGGCCAACAAAAGATTCTGCAGCCCCATTTTTTTGACAACGTAATTAAGTTATAGTTACCAGATTACCTCTTTCACTTCAGCTGCTTTCTCTGAAGTGCCCCCTACTGATTACTTTCAGTAGTACAGGGTGCCAATCAGAACCTGGCGACATGCACTTATTTTCTATAGAGGAAATTTGTCCCTACTTTTTTATGGGACTTCTAAAACCTACCTGGCAGGTAGTTTCCCTTCTGTTGCCGTGACGACAGGGCCCCAGCTGACTGGGTGTGCCGGGCATTATGGGAGCTCATCTCATCCTTCATGGGATCCTGTAACCATGGTTACATGATGTTAGATGAAATCATGAAGAGAGTTGGGTAACACTGACTCATATAGAAATATATTGCTTAAGGCCAATATCTTACTCCTAAATGCATGCCCACATGAAATCTAGATCTATGACAAGAACCTGAGTAAGGAAAAGGAAAACAAGGTCTGGAATAATCTTTTAGATTAGAGACAGGCAAGGTTTCCAAAAGAAAGAAAAGTTTCCAATAGAACGAAAAGACAAAGAAACAACACGGCAAACAAATTTTGTAAAAGAAAGACAAGAGCATGGTTGCCTAAGCAGGGTAGTATTTTATTGTACCTGTTGTTGTTGTTGCTGCTGTTGTTGTTGATGATGTTGGTTCCGCTGTGGTGCTGAGTTGAAGCCCAGCTCCGACACGTATGCCGTGGAGGGCGTGTGGACCTGTCTGTTCCCCCGCTGGTCCTTCTGTAGGGGCGGGGTGGTCCCACGGGCTGCACCGGGCGATACTGACAAACAGAGTTTTAAGGTTTAACTCCACAAAAAGTTGTGTAATACATAGAAAGTGAAGTACAACATGTCAGGGATTTGGGATGTACAGTAATATCAAAGTGAAAAGTTAACATGATGTGTAACAAATTGAGATATGAGCCCTAGTCAATTTTCAACCACTTCTTATACTTTTCAGCCACGTTAGTATATTTTGTGGCAACAGATTATGAGAGATGTGAACTCAAATATAGACCCTCAAAACCCCATGATAACTTTTGTGCTGTGCGGAAGAATTGGAATGTGCACCGTTAACTGCAACATAGCCCGGTAGTCATATAAACTACAGCATTGACTACTTTTCTTCCTTCCCTTACTGTGTAGACAATTATACAGGTTGTCTGGCCAAGTCTTAAGCAGGCTAATTTGTACTTAACAACACCGGCAACAGAACAAGGGTCACCATTCTAGTCCTGCATGTTGACATTTTATCCCTGTTTGAATGACAAGTCTATTTGCCCTGGGTGGGGAATGTATTGATCTATTTGGCATGTCTTCTGGTTGAAGAGGGAAACGTGACCCAAGCTGAAAACAATCCTAAGTCACTGATTACCATTTAGTGACATACATTTGTACTTAAGTACATGTACAAAATTATGCACCCCAGGGCTATGCTACATGTGTATTAACAACAGTTACTTCAAGAACTTCTAAAGCTGACAACTCCATACGATACCTAGATAATACCTGGGACCCCGAACTGTGAAGACTTATAACATATGCAATATGCCACCTACTTAAATTGTACTAATAAAAGAATGCTTCAAAATAGTGGATCAACACAAGCATTGTACATGTGTACAGACACCGCAATACACTAACCTGCAACTTTCTGCAGCACTGCTACCCAGAATTTGTGCATAATGACGGTAACAGAAGGACTATCAGAGATTTACAAAATGTTCCACTCTCCTGAAGTCACAACAGTAAACTTCTAACACTGTAACACCAGTCACTCTACTGTGACAGCTTTCTCCAAACTGTGCCATCCAGACACCTTGACTCTAACAGGTGTGTTTTGCTATAATACAAGAAACCAAACCAAGACACCTTCAAGTACAGCGATCAGACTTCAATCCAGCAGATACAGTGTCTCACATAGAAAAGAAAGTATTTACGTCTGGCAATGCCAGCCCTGTTTACTGTTAACAGTGCATTATTTGCTTCAGTTGAGAAAAAAATTCTGAGGTCTGGGAAACAAAAGTTGGTCTGACCTTCACGTAGGTGTTACATGTACTCTGGTTAGTTTTGAAATTTTAGGCAAGTGAAATCAAGACTTTCTGGACTACATACTTATACATGTATAGTTACCTCTGTTGCGAAACATCCAAAAAGAAAAAAGCTCGGTGGCATTCCCAAAGTGGAAGAATTCTTCATCAATATGTTGCTGTGTGGACTAGGAAAGGATCCTGTCACTAACGCAATGATTCCTTGCATAGTGGTATGTTATATCACTGTTGGAGATGTTATTCGATTGATTTAGATACACATCTTAGACTGTGTGTACACTCAAAACAGTTACTGAATTGGGTGCTTGTTTACAATACAACACGCGCGTAACATAGACTGACCCCAAACGTGTCACCATAGCTGATGATCTCCCATTTGTACGGACCTTACTTTTAGACAACAAGCAAGACCTTTGTGACTAGGAAGGTAAAACTTAAGCAACCAAAAACACCCCAGGAGTGAGGTATATACCTTTGCCCTGCACCCACAAAGGGAGGGGTTCGTATGTTCCATAGCGGACTGGTCTCATCCTGGGTGATTTGGTGGTGGTGGTGACACCCAGGTCCAGCACGGCGAGGTGTTTGCAATAGCAGACCTCCGCCGTGCACAGCGTATCGTGCAGAAAGTGTGGCTGTCTCCTCATGTTAGGAAATCATAGCTGCAAATGTTTCAAAGGACTTCATGCTCGATGTGGTCTGAAATTGGCTTGAAAGGCGACGAGAGAGATCTGATTTCTTGTTTGCATGTGACTTCACCCGTGCGGTCCTCAGTATGCCGAGGTTTAACAAAGTAAACAATTGACGCACACGGATCGAGGACGGTTCATTTTCAACTGTAGCCAGGTAATGCTACGTCTTCACAAAAGATGACCGATATCTGTCATTATTCTCTCAACAGTCCGCTCGAAAAACAAGTTGACTTTGGTAAAATGGATGAAGCAATTTGAGACAACAAAAAGACCACGTGGACAAAGCTGTCCAAACGTATTTTGAGGAACCAAGGTCATGGCATTACTCCATTACATTATGGCTCGACTGATGAATATAACAGTCACTAACGAACATAAATCAAACACTTTCTCACTTCAATGTGGTCTCAACTGGTCATGGCAGCCCACAGTCCTTTGAAGGATAATTAGATAAACGGAACAATACAATGTATACATCCCTTCAAAGTAACTTGGAAAATCAAATTTCAAAATGCCAAACATTTGATAGCACTTGCAGACTGCACTTCAGGAGAATGTTTGTACACATACTAGTATGTGCACTAGTATTTTCATACACATTCTGATAAGACATGCACCACTCCTGGGTCTGTCTGCAGCTGCATTTCCAAAGGCAACATTCAATTTCCACCTTCATCATTACACACGTTAAGTACCAATGGATATACACAATCCAACCATACCGTTCACCTACACACATCTTATGTAAAATAAACTAATGTTGTTTTTCACAAGAATGGGTCCAGCATGTTGTTCGTGACTTCACAAAAGACAAAAGTGTTTTTATCATCTGCTCTGCTGCAAGGCATTATAAAATACGACACCTGGCGCTTAAGCGCCTACTTAAGCCCAGGAGGACGTGTTCACCTGCCCCACGGCGTGTTTACTGTGTACAGGTGTGTGGTGTGGGCACAATCACAGGTAACCTGATATACAACTGGGGAAACACAAGGAACATTATCCCATACACAACTCCCTGTCTACCATGTAGCCTTCTAGATGTGCACTAGATACCAGGTCAACCTGTTTTGCATACAGTAGCCAAACATTACATACTGTAGATAAGACTTTTTACAAAGCAATCCTTTAGACAAACAAATGACCAAATGGATTGGTTGTAAAGAGTGAGATACTTTTGATCAATGGCTAACACCTACATCAGTACATATGATTGTGTAACACTAAAAGCAACAAAATAAATTGATGATAATATCTATAACTCAGTCTAGAAGAAGAATGGTCATTCCCGGCTTCGGTTGATTGTGTCAATGTTTTTTGACAGCCCAGATTGAGGCAACACACCTGCTGGCATTAGCCGTCAGTACTCAAGCCCTATAGCTGCACGGGTCATTGCAAAAACTGAAAAGCAAAGGATTGGACCATAATAATCTTCAGGAGGGGTGAATGAAACCTGACTTTCTTTTCACAGAACACTGCCTGTATGCAAATTATCAGTGCTCTTAAGCAAGATACAAAACTTTGAATAGGAAGGTACTATAGAGCTATAAAACAACATGTGGTTAAAATTGCTCAAAGATTAAAAAAAGCAATTCCTTTGGTATCACCTGTTCTTGGGGATCAGTCTGTATCCAAGAATCAATAGCTGCTGGACCCTTCAAGCAACTATAGGGACACCGGGTACCAGGGAGGAAGGAGTGGGAAAATATTTGATTCTAGCTACTACCAGCCTGAGGTCCTACACAGCATATGATAGCTTATGTATAGGGTATCTGACATGATGTGAAACTGATGAAGAAAAGGAATGTGATTTTCTGTACAGCACATCATGTGTAGGTCAGTGGTATGTATCAGCAAGGGGCCATGGCATCTTGCATGACTGAGAAAAAGGTGAGCACAAGTATTTCTATGATTATGAAGTAACTGCTCATTAATTTCACTAAAAAAACAATTCTCATGTTCTGTGATGTCACCCTGTTTGGGTACATTGTATGTCACTTGCATATCTACCTTAAAGTTCTTTCTGTGTATATTTTGTACACCACATGGGATGAGAAGAAATGAAAGCATGCAGTGCTACACTAAATCACTAGATGGCACTGCTAAGAAAGTTTGAAGCATGAACTTTTCAACCGTGAATATCATTGAACACCAAGTGACATGGGTAATGATGGAAATGTGTGCAATATCAGGTGAATATCATTTTCTACCATAGCATATTCAATACTAGTAGAAAATGAAAAATTTCACAAATTTATATGATGATGCAATGTGACCTTAAAGATTTACATCGTCATTACTCTTTATAGATACATGTACTAGTAGTAGGCAAAAGACCTCAATCAAAGGATTATGAGACATACAAATCATCACATTCTCCAAAAACAGGAAGTTGGGTAGGAATTATAAAAACATAACTTACTCTCTTGTCCTCTACTATATAAACCATCTCTGAAACTTAGCCCAAAAGTTCACCAAGGTCGCTGACGGACAACTTACCAAGGTCGCTAATGAGATCCTCAGAGGCTCCTGGTCTCTGGTTCAGGTGGGCTGGCTGTACGAGGTCTGTTGCTCGATATGTGTGTGCACTGGGGGCCTCGCGAACAAGGCGGAAGTCTGCACCCTATAACATCAGTTGCACAATTCACACATACAGTTTTCACAACATCTTAGAAATGAGAAATGCATAATGTACTGTACATGTACTTAATATTTACAAATACATGTACAATAACTAGTATCAGAAGACAAAGTAATAATGTGTATATAACATGCTGCAATGCATTCTTGCATATGCTGCAATTTCATACATTGAAGTTTGGGAGTACTATATCTAGAGCCCCTTGAATTGGTGTACATGCAGCCTAGACTGAGTTCAGGTGCTCATGGATAAGTGCATCTTTAGGGTTCTTGTAAAGCTTGAGCACTTCCTATAAAGATGTACCTAGAACTGGTAATTCTAAAGGACTAGCAAGTCATGCAGGTGTTGGATGAGCATTCAAGCAATCTTTATCATCATGTGATTCTTTGTCAAGTAGTAGTACCTCTAATTGTTGGCTGTAGTAATACCAGAACAAGCAGCAGTGATAAACTGGCAGCGCTACTTGAATTTAAAGAAGTTGGCCATGCATAATTTGAGTTAACACGATGCAGGAAATCTGGTTATGTAGTATTGTGCAAAGTGCCTTAATCATCTAACCTCCTTGCTTATTTAAGAATGTCTTTTCTAGTATTAATCTAATTATTCTCATGCTGGTCTATCATGCTGGTCTACTGCAAACAGAGAACCCTCACCTATAATATGAAAGTCTTTCTCTGCAGCTTTGTAGTCAAGCCAACAGAAATGGGATCAAAACGCCAAAAACATGTAGACCAGGTAGTTACTAATATGTAGACCTGGTAGTTACTAGTATACAACTGTTGACAGTAGGAAGTGGTAGGACCCATTGTCGTCTTGTATTGTCTTTCTGCATATTTGTAAGATTGAGTTAGTACGTAGGTGATAATCCTATCTACTAGTACTAAAAGGTTAATTATGCTTAACCTGGCATTCAACTGTCAGCATGACAGCATACCTTGGTTCAATAGACTTTATTGAATTATTAACCCTTAATGAATAGACCAATCTAATAACCTTTGGGTCAAAGGGTAAAAAAAAATTCACCTGGTATACTAATAGTTACTACATTCAGACCATGTTTAAGATATTTTGTTTAAAAAAATACTGCATTGACACATACATTACATCTTCTACAACAGATCAATCAGGAACAAAAGATGATCTTCTCATGTATTATTTAATTTCAAGGTTTGACAAAAGAATAAGATACAGCTTCTTTGGTTCCCATGGGCTTTCAAGCTCTCATTGAAACACTACTAATATCCTCAATATAACAAGTCAGTATTATTACACAATTGAGTGGTTGATATGTTACGTGATATACAAACAAAGATGCAAATGAGGCCATAATTACACACAAATATTTAACCTTCTTTATCTTAGTAACCGTTCTTCAAGAAGAAAAATAATAATCTGTCATTTACAAAGACCGAGCAGGTTAGGTCTTAGTCAGGTGGCTACTTGGAGAGCCTACAAGTCACGGTACAAATCTACAGTGCTCATAGCCCTTACAAAAGTAAGACAAGCAAGCAGAAAGGAAAGGAAGACAAGAAAAGACAAGACTAGTGTGAAGTAACCAGGAGTCGTCTTACCTGTCTGTGTCCCTGTTTTTCATTCGGTCCACTGCCAGCAGCCTGCACACTGAGCCCGAAATTACTGACCTGTAGCAGGGAGGGGTACGCAACAATGGGATCCAGCATTAGGAACATTCAATGACTCATAACGACCACTTGCTCAGAAATTCGTGCATGTCAACAAAGGCCGAGCAAATATCGTGTTACTGGAAGTTGATGACAACTTTTCTGAGTCGTGCACCCAAATCAAAACACTCACGTCTCTAGTAGCTAGCACACTACGGTTCCGCAGCTTATTTGGATGGTACATTCCTATGAGAGTAGGGTTTATGGGACGTTGTCCCGTTGATCGGACTGGTTTATCGAGCAGAGATTATATTTGGCGCGGCGTTCGTCATGATGTCGGGCGTTCTTGGAGACAGGAATTCGCCGCCATTTTGCCTAAACGCATCACAACGCAAACACTACGTGAAATGAGTAAAAATTTAATAATCGTCGCATCGTGACAACAAAATAACCAGAAAAGATTGTAAATACTATCTGTCATTAGTTAACTATAGACAATTTGTTTTAGGTCCCCTACGTTGCTGAGAATATTGAATATATTTGTGAATGCGTCGTTTATGTTTACTTGCGCTCTAACGCTGCAACTGCAGTTCAAAGGTCGTTATTTCTTTCAGTTCAGATTTGAAAGTTTCCTGTCTTTTTCGTTGGATTTTACTCGCTATAGTTTCCCACATGGCGGAGAAGTTTGATCCAGCAGGTAAATAGTACATCATTGTCCACGGTTTACACATTTACGGCAAGTCAATTGTCACAAAGCGAAGTAATCGTTGACGGGAAGTCTTGGCGGATGGATGGGGGAGGGGGGCGTTAACTTACTAAAGTTGCAAAATTAAGATGTTTTCCTATCATATTAAAGGTCCTAAAATCGTTGGAAATCATAAAGGTGGTACTTCACGGTCGCGTTCAATATATGTACAGGAGCTAAAATTAGTAAAAATACAATCATATTTATCAAAGAACAACAACAGTCATATGCTAAAAAATATCCTTGGTTTTATGTAGTTTTGTAACACATCACTTTGGGGAGGGGTTGGGACATTCACATGATATAACAAGATTATTTTGTTGTAGATATTGAATATCATATTTGTAGCAGCCATATTCCAGGGAACAATATCTACAAATTATATTATAAGTTATAGACTGTTGTTTACTTTTCTGAGTAACATTATCTTTAACAGCAATATTATACTATTATAGTAAATGATAAGTTTGATGTGTTTAAAAAAAAACTTTAATAGTAAGTTGTTAAAGTGACATCCAACTCAACTGATTAAAATAACTAAAACAATGTCTTTCATACTATAATTATTGATTGTGATTTTTGCAAAATTTCACCCACTCACTTTCAATTACTAATACAAGTCATTAATGAAAATGGGTATGACACTTAACTGATGTAAACAATGTCATTGTCAGATGATGAAATGTGCTTACATTACATAACATTAGGTGTTGAAGTCAATATTTGTAGTTATGGTGATACCTGCCTTCAGACACTTAGCAGTATGCAGAACACATATATATCTGTCAGCAGCTAATATTGTGGCTTAGATTTTTTCAAATATCAGCTTTGATTTAACAGGGCAAGAATGCTAAGAAGTACCCTCTCATGTTGCGGTATTGTCAACTACATGTACAAGTTATTGGAATATATTTCCACCAAAAAATTCCATCAACACTGATGATGATGACCTGCCAATCTTATGTGGACTTTTGTCCTACTTACACAGACTCTGCCTGATTGAAGTGATTGAGCTGATTGACCTGCAGACAACAGGACTTGTGTCTGAGTATTGCTGTCAGAGCCAGGAGAAGGTAATCAACATGGTACTCTGCAAACAGGAGACAAAGGATGAACAGGAGCTGCGATGATTCTATTTGACTTGACAAAGTAAAAAGTTGGAGGAAGGTACGAAGAAGGATTGCAGCGTGAAGCTCAGAACTGCCAGCAAACTGTCAAAATGAGTGGCAAGATGAGCAAGAAAGAGCTGGACCATCAGTTTGAGCAGTTCCTGAAGGAGTCCCTCTCAGATGATTCCTTGGATGATGGAGGAGGTAAGGCTGGGAGTGTCCTACACAGGCTGGGCCAGCGAGAACCTAAGAAAGAACCAAAGCTGTGGTGGATGGAGGAGGATGATGAGGGATCGCCAAGACTCAAAAGTAGCTCAACCAACAGATGGCTGACAAAAAAAGATAAGAAAAAGGAAGAACCGTCTGGGAAGGAGCTAGGAGGTTCACAGGAAGCAAAGTTCTTGAAGTCGTTGAACAGAAAAAGTCCGACAGAACCCCCCACATCAGGACTTGCTGCCAACTTTGACAATCCTCCAGCAAGGAGAGATGTAGAAGTGAGTAAGGACAGCCTGGAAGACTTTTTCCACATAGGCCGCAGTAAGGGTAATAATGGAGGAAGGGGTGGTGTGATTCCAGAGAAAGCCAGTTTTGAAGATACTTTGATAGAGAGCAGCGATGATGAAGCTGTGGATGATGTTAGAGCGGGAAGTGCCCCTGGAACAGGACCGGGGATGGACACACTGGAGGAGCTGGCAGAGAAGGAAAGGTTCTTCAAGGAGATAGAGGGGTCAGCAGAGGGTACAGTGGATTATGGGAGGCTCAATGAGGAAGCAGATCTGACAGATACTTTGAAAAGGCCAACATCTGGTCACAAAGTTGAAAACAATGAATCCAAACTAGACAGTTACAGTGAGGACTTTTCAGATGAAAGTCAAGACAAGGATGAAGACAGAGATGAGTCTGAGAAGGTGACTGGTAAGACAAGTGACGCGGAAAGCTCCAAGAAGTTGACAAGTACTCCACCGTCCAAACCAATGTTGGCCAGGGTAGCTCTGTTTGACACCATGGATTCCAGTTTTGGGACAGGCAAGCTGGGGAAGACGTTACTGCCCTCAGGTGGCGACACGGATGGAGACTCACCCCAGATAAAGATGGTTCCCACGGCAACTGGGACCAACAGTGATGTGGAGGCTCTGCAGCGAGCCCTGCAGGATGCACAGATGTCCACCCTGGGTACAGGCACTGCAGCAGACTTAGATCTGGGGGGAGGAACCGAGGCGAGGGGGTTCAACCTGAGCCCTGCCCAGCCCAGGGGGAGGGGGTTTGACTTGGAGCCAGCTGGTACAGAAGACGGAGGTTTTACCCTGCCTGAGGAAAACAGAGGGTTTGACCTCCAACCAGCTGATGACTCCAGGAGACTCGACCTTCATCCAACTGGTGAGAAGCATGGGTTTGACCTTCAACCTGCAGGTGAGAACCATGGATTTGACCTTCGGCCTGCAGGGGAGAACCATGGATTTGACCTTCAACCTGCAGACAGTGCAGGAGGATTTGACCTCAGCCAGGGTCAAACCAGTGGACCAGATGTTCACGGGTTTGACCTCAGCCCTGCGCATGTCGATCCGAAAGGTTTCCATTACAATGATCAGGACCTTGACAAGACTGTGGAAAGTAAACCCCAAACCCCAGTACCCACACCCAGGAAACACATAGGACAGAAGTTCACATTTGAGTCTCCAGAGCGACAGCATAGAACCATTCAGGACCTGGAGAGAGATATCGAGACTCAAGTGGGAAGGTTGGACAGACTTGTCGATGACAGCATGGTGGATGGTAGAACAGAGCAAGTCGGTAAGAAAGGAAAGGCAAAGAAGGGAAAACAGCAGCAGGTACGGAGCTCTGGGTACGGCAAAGTTATCCCATCAAAGAGGACAAATGGAAGTGCAAGTACACCAGATGCAAAGCTGGGAAAACATGCCAGAAATTCACCCTTGCCAAAAACAAGTACTCCTAGCAAACAAGGCAAGACTGTCAGCTTCCATGGACAAGGTGCCAAGGGTAGACCATCTAGTGCTAGCCCGTACAGGTGGACTCCTAAACAGGTCTCTACATTTAAAGCAAGAGGAGTACCCATGGATGACTCAGTAGCAGGCAGTCAGCTGATGGCTTCTGTGGAGTCCTTTGCTCACTACATCCAAGACCATTTCTCACCTGAAAGAAAGGGGAAGTCTTCCAGGCAAGCATGGGAAGATAAACCCCCTGTCAAGTCAGACGGCCCACCTCCAGGTGTAGAACACCTTTCCAGGGAGAAGATGTTGTTGTTACAAGTACAAGACCTTCAGAAAGAGTTGGAAGTCGAACAGAAGCTGAGGGAGAAAATCCATGCAGACTTCAGAGCTCAGCAGAGGGAGTACCAGCGGGAGATGGAAGAGCTTCGTCTCCAACACGACAAGGAACTGGACCAGCTGAGGCAGGAGAACTTTGTCTTACGAGCAAAGCTTGGGGACTCAGAAGCACACGGTGGTGACGAGAAGGATTCAGAACCATCAAGCCAAAAATCTGACTCCAAATTTAAAGGAAAAGCTGCAGATGAAGAAGTGGAGAGGTTACGACAGGAAGTCAAGGTGCAAGAAGACCTTCTGAAAGGCTACCAGCAGGAGAACGAGAGGTTGTACGCTCAGCTGAAGACGGGCACGTCCAAGTACAAGGAGACAGAGACGCTCCTGTTCCAGGAGAACCAGAGGCTGCAGGCAGACGTGGCCCGTCTGAAGGAGGAGGGGGAGCAGAGGGAGCGAGCCCTGCTGTTTAAGGGAGTCATCACCAGCCCAGCAGCTCAGCAGCAGATCAAGGCTGGCACGGCTGAAGTCTCCATGGCCACTGCTCGGGTGGCATACTTGGAAAAAGTAAGTATTTAACAGAACTTTAGATTCAGCATTCATTCCTCTGTTAATGTCTATTTGAATACGGCTATAATTTGCCATCCCTTAAGTCAAGTTTGCAATTAATGATTCTCATTTTTTTTAATGTAAATTGATACATTTATGTTTCTTACATCTACCCACATAGCAGTGTTAGCAATTGCCTACTTTCCCAGGAACTTTTTTTCTAAATCCTACATTGTACCCTTTTCTGAATGTTTCCAGGAGCTGAAAAAATCCAAGCTGCACAGTGAGGACCTGCTGAGGGATGTTGTTCGACTGAAGGGTGAGAAGTCCCACCTGGAGCAGCAGCTGGACAGGGAGAGGGCTCTGGGTGTCCAGGCAAACAGACAAGTTAGTCATCATGACAAACATTGGATTATTGTTTAATTAATGACACAGGCAGTACTAAATGTCACTATAGATTGTGACATTGACATCATAAACTGAATTCTTAATGTAGTGTATGTTTCAGTTGGCAGGTCAGCAAATGATTACCTGGCAAATAGCAGTTCTACTAATGAGAGAGGGGCTACATGTCCATCAAATGCATGCATGTTTATGTTTATATTTTGCATTTTTCATTTGAACTAGATACATGTATAAGCATAAGCAATTTTGAAAAAGATATGGGTGGGACTTTGGGATTGGTCTATTAAGGCACATGAACTTAAAAGTGAAGCCCCTCTGCCTCTTCTTGAAGGTGAGTGAGGTGAGTGAGCTGACAGGTGTGTTTTGTGTTGAGGTGAGTGATTTGACAGGTGTGTTTTGTGTTGAGGTGAGTGATTTGACAGGTGTGTTTTGTGTTAAGGTGAGTGAGGTGAGTGCGGTGCAGCAGCTGGAGGTGAGGACCCGGGTACAGCAGTATGAGGAGGAGGTACTGGAGCTGAGGAGGAAGCTGCGCTGGTACGCAGAGAACCAGGAGCTGGTGGACAGACAGACACGGGTCCTCCGGGAGAAGGAGGAGGAGATGGAGAGACTCAGGAGTCAGGTATGGGGAGAGTGTACTGTGTGGGTACTTTATAACACTAATAAAACAATACATGTAGTGAGGATGCCTTAGAAAAACAATTTAAGCAACAGTCTTCAGGGTCGTAACTGCGAATGGTTTTTCATGAACATGACATTTTGCTTTACAATCTGAATTACATGTAGCATAGTAAAAAATGCCACAATGTATTATCATCAGAAAAGCAGAACTACATGACTCCAGCTATAGACTGTAGAAAATTTGAATGGCTGAAGAGATTTCATTGTGAGGAAGTGGGAAATAACCTTCTGTTATTTCTGCAGGTAAAAAGGCTGGAGGTCCAAACTGGACAGAAACAAGACAGCGCCAGGGGCAGGGCAAAGGAGCGAGCAGCCGACGCCAAACGCATCCTCGATCTGGAACGGCAAGTAAAAGAAATGGAGAACATCATAAAGAGACGCCATCCAAACTCCATCCCTGCAATGATCCTGGCGGCAAATGCAGCACCTCAGCCAGCCCCCGGCAGCCCCACCCGACCGCTGTCCGTACAGTTCCTGGAGAACAGGATCAGGAAGCTGGAGGGGGAGTTAGAGAGGAGGGATGAGGACGCCAAGTTGAGCCTGCGGGCCCTGCAGCAGACTCACAACCAGGTGAAGCTTCAGTACGAGGAGGAGATCTCCAGACTGAGGGACCAGCTTGCTGATAGAGGTCAAATGTCGGCAAGGGTAGACTCCAATAAAGTGTCTGCCCTGGAGATGCAGCTTGACTTGGAAAGGACAGATCACAACAAAATGGTTGAAGAGTTCAAAAGGGAAATCACAGAACTGCACAAACGTCTGGAAGCTGCACAGATGCGGAGGTCAATGACTGATAAGCAGGCCTTTGCTGCTGAAAAGTTTGAGGCAGAGACTTTGGTTTTGAAGAAGGAGTTGAAGGAAAAGAGTCAGGAAATCTTCCAGCTCCAGAAAACGTGTCAAAAGCTGCAAGCTGGTTCTGGAAAAGATGGAGGAAAGTTTGGGAAGACCAAAATTGTTGGGAAGAAGAAAATGTCTGGTAAAGATGTCGCATCGTCACCCAGACATGATGTTGCCTTCCCAGACTCTCTGGATGACAGGTCTTACGAACCTCATGCTTTCAGTGGTTTGCACATTTCTGACATCCAAAGGGAAAATGAAACTCTTAAGCAGCAGGTAGAAAATCTTTCATTTGAACTTGAACAGCAAAGAGTCAAGAGTCAGATGCAGGTTGCAGAGGCAGAGAGCAGCGTCCGCAAAGCACAGGAGGCTTCAGAAGAACGACTGGACATCATGAAAGCAGCTCACCAGAGAGAAGTGGAGAAGCTCTTATCGCAGTACACCAGACAACAGTCTACCTCTGAGGTGGCAGAGCTCACAAGTAGACTGCAGACAAGGGACGTTATGCTCGAACATCTGAAGTCAGAGTTGGCGTCTGCCAAGAGAGACCAGGAGGAGCTTGTGCGAGTGAAACTGCGGGAGGAGGCCCTGCAGCGGCAGCTCAGTAGACTTCAGGAGGAACTGGCCGAGGCAAAGGCACAGCAGTCCCCAGAAATGAGACACTTTGAGTCACTCCAGTCCAAGATCCAGGCTATGGAGGATAAGTACAGGGAAAGAGAGAGGGGGCTACAGAACGGGGTGTTGAGTCCAAAGGGAGGAAGGTCGGACTCACAGTGGGCACAGATTGTAGAGTCTAAGAACAGACAGATTGAGCAGTTCAGGGCAGAGTTGGACTCTATTCTAGCAGTGCTCAGGCAGATTCAACAGAACAAGATGTCGGCAGGTTACAGAATTCCAACAATATGATTCATCTGTTGATACAGACCACTAAGATACATGTTAAACTTTAGTGCTACTGTTCATTGATTTGAAAGTTTTCGAGACTGGGTCTATAAAAACTATAATGCCTCTGACTGTCCTGTGTTTTTCTTTGCATTTTCACGAATGTGCTTGAAGTGATATATAATGTATTAATATTATGCAGATACATGTATATGGTCCACATTAGATTACACAAGACGAATGCTGATAAATTTTTTTGTAGAATGTTGATACTGTGGAATGTTTAACATTTGTAAATCTTTATAGCAAAGATATTTTTATCCACACAAGTACATTTTTAAAAGAATACTCGCAAGTTACTTGTTCATGTTGGAAATCAAACTTGTCATCAGCTGAATAAAACACATTGCATACACCTGGCCTGAGGTTTCTCTCTGTGGTGATAGAATTTGGTGAAAATGTAGTAATTGTGCATAGTGGAACAGTAATACTAATACAGTCAATGATAGAGGTGGTTCCAGGCTTGGATGAATAAAGACAGAATTGTGTCAAATGCAGAAAATCAAGAGGAATTTGATGAAAAGCAGGTTTGTTTTCAATTCGGTTTCCAGTTTTTATAGATACATGAAATTTGAGACCATCTCAAGAACAATACCATATTTACTGTCTCACTTCAATGGTTCAAAGAAAGATATGATAGCCACCACAACTGGTAGAAAACAACAAGAGAGCACTGACTACTGATAACCACCTCCATAGAGCACCAGCATGTGCGGTACAACCCCCTGAAGGGAGACTGGGTGCTGGTGTCGGCCCACAGGATGAAGAGGCCGTGGTCGGGGCAGGAGGAGAAACCCCCAGAGGAGGACATTCCACGACACGACCCCAAGAACCCCCTCTGTCCCAGGGCTACCCGCGCCAACGGAAAGGTTCAAACTTCAGTGTGCTTTCTATCTTTTGATCCTTTGAGCGTCTGACTGTTTACAAAATCATATCCACTTGCTTGAGTAACTGTTTTTTGCCACATTTATGTCGTACCTAGTATCATTGATGTAATGTATGACAACTGCTATGTACAAAATGTTGTGGAAGTGTGCTGACTGGCTTCCTGTGTCTCAACAGGTGAACCCAGACTACGACAGCACCTTCCTGTTTGACAATGACTTTCCAGCCCTCCAGCCAGATGCACCCGACCCAGGTGTGATGTACTGAAAATTTGCCATGGATTCTGTATGGAAATATCTCAATAGATGCCCTAGGAGTATGTCAAACAAGTAGTTGAGCACTAGAGATTCAGGTGATGGGAACAAATGATGCAAGTGTTAGTTTAACAGGTAACCATGTTGACCTGTAGCCTATCATTACAAATTGCAGTATATATGGTTGGGCTTGATATACCAGGCAACTTAACTTGGCTTTCAACTTCCCTAAGTACAAATGTATCTCCCAGATCATGACTCACACAATTAGTGTCTGTGTTTCAGGTCCAAGTGAACATCCTCTCCTACAGGCAGCCTCTGCAAGAGGGAAATGGTGAGGATATCTCCTCTTGTCTGTAACATCTCACAGCTGTTCAGGTGTCTGAAAATCTGTGACATTATTTGAAAGTTTTTATCAGCTTCTCAACATCTTTATCATTGCCTAAGCCTTGACACAGGTTACTGTAAATCTTGTAACCCTAGGTTAGGAATCAACTCCAGAACAACTAAAAGTTGTTTTTTTCCTCAGCCAGGTGATGTGCTTCCACCCATGGACAGACATCACCCTTCCCCTCATGTCATTGGCCGAGATCAGGACTGTGATTGACAGGTGGGCAGAGATCACCACCGACCTAGGGACCAATCACAGATGGGTGCAGGTCAGTAGACACCTTGGAATCGCTGACAGTACTATGCTTAGAAGGTACACTGTGTGTATTGTTAGTTGGGTTGAGTTAACAATGAATGAAAAACACTAAGTTAAAGACATACATACTAGATGCAGCTTATCGCTCGGAGTGAAAGTTCTTTATCTGATGTCTAATGCAACATAGTACACTATAGATGCTAGAGGTTGTCAGTTAAGATACATGTATTCCCTTAATGCCCTGTACAGGTTTTTGAGAACAAGGGTGCTGTGAATGGGTGCTCCAACCCTCATCCTCACTGTCAGGTCTGGGCCAGCAACTTCATGCCAAATGAGGCAACAGCTGAGGTAGGTACTTTCCATTTACAATCACATCTAAAGCTTTGTTCACTTTCCTATTCATGTTAATGCTGAAAATTGTTATGCATGATGACACTGTAAAAGAACAATTTTTTTTACTTTGAATGTCTATGAATGAATATTGTTACTTTATTTTATGCAATATATGTGCATTGTTATTATTTATCTGCTTTTCTTTATCTATTGATATTACATTGTACCTTGCATGTAACCTCCATCACAGGACAACAACCAAAAAGAGTACTTCAGCAAACACCAATCCCCAATGCTTGTGGATTACTATAACCTGGAGAAGGAGAAAAGGGTAAATTTCAAGATGACTTTTGTTCTTTGCTGAAGGCAAAGTCACATTTGTTGTACTTAGGTTATCGTACAGTGTTGATGTTATAGAATGTTTAAGCAGGCTGTGAACTAACCTCCCCCAACAGACATCTGAATTTTATATGAAACCCGCATGACTAAGCAAAAAATACCCTTTTTGTAATCGTATGATGATCGTACAACATACATGTATGTGACCAGGCCATGAGCATACCTGCTGTACAATTTGGCCATAAGAAGACAGCATGTATGAACCTTGATTTTTTTTTAATTGACCAGGTAAAGTTTGTATTTGCTGCCGTGCTGCAGGTGCGGATAGTTGTGGAGAATGAGGACTGGTTGGTTGTGGTGCCGTACTGGGCCGTGTGGCCGTATGAAACACTGGTGCTGCCCAGGAGACATGTCCTCAGGCTGCCGGACCTCACCAGCAGTGAGAGGGATGGTCAGGACATCCTAGTAACTACATTGTTGGGATAGAAAACATTTGGCTGAATAGAAAAAGATTGTCATTTTATGTCTGTGAATTTTTTTAATGTGTACACAAATGTTTGCCAAAAGTTTGTGATAGAACTACATGTGATACATTTAACTAAATATACTGTGTACAATTAAGGATTGATGTTTCTAAATGTGAGCTTAGATGAAATGTTAAAGCATGAGAGGAAATCCTTGCTGAAATGCAAAGTTGGTATGTAATCAAGTTTTATTTTTGCTCAGACACTATGATTCAACCATTGTGTCTTCTCTTACTCCACAGCCCTCGCAGACATTACAAAGCGACTTCTGTGCAAGTATGACAACCTGTTTGAGGTGTCCTTCCCTTACTCCATGGGCTGGCACGGTTTGTAAATTTCATCTAAACATTATGAGCTGTGCTTTGTATTAGATTGTAGTGTAACAATGAGTATTGTTAGTTTTATTAAACATTGTATTATCGCCGGTTCTATCCCCTCCCTTGGGCGGAGCCGCGGTCACCTGTTCGAACACGTGCCAGCGCACGTGCCAGCGTCGTGTTCGAACAGGTGATCTATACCGGTACCGTTCGAGGGAAGGGGCTCTAGAACCGGCCGGTTGAGATTGAATAAACCAGTTGAGTTTGAGCGTTCATCGTGACTGGTTGTCTATCTTTACATTTTGGTGGCAGCGGTGGTTTTCCTGCGGGAATCACCGCGTATTTTACGTCGAAATGGCTGAGTACCGTAGTAAACTTCCACCTTCCTTTGATGGTGAGTCCGATTTCCATTTATGGTCGCAACAATTTGATGTGTGGGCCGCAGCCCAGGAATTGGACGGCGCCGCCCAGCTGCGGAGCTTTCCGACTTTCCTTACTGGCCCAGCGTTTGGATTCTACTCAGAGCTCCCGGTAGCGACGAAGGCTAACCTGACCCTCATACGACAGGCAATGGCGGGACCGTTCGGACGTCCTGTATTTTTGGAAGAGTTTCGGCGAGCGGCCAACGCCCGTCCCCGACATCCTGGTGAAAGTCTGCCGGTCTACGCTGCCGAGATTCGAAGGTTGGTACGGCTGGCTTATCCGACATATAACGACGCCGCCCGGGCAGGAGTGGCGCTTGACCGTTTCCTCGCCGGGTTGGACCCTGACCTGAAATACCGAGTTATGGGTTTCGGGCCGGCCGACGTCGACGCTGCTGTCCGTCAAGCTACCCTGTGTGAGGAAGTGCGGACATCTGCCGCCCGGG